TATCTCTTTTCAAGTTCACTCACATTATATTAAATTGGCACGATACAGGGACTGCCAAGATGAAGGCATCCTCACTGCAGGTGATTTGCCACTATACATCAGATTGGTAACAAGACTTTAACAATTAGGAGCCAAAACAGCATGTAATTGGACTGAATTTCTTCAAAGCCGGAGCGGTTTTCAAAAACATTTACAAGCATTTATTAATAATTTTATATAATTTAAAAAAAATTTAAAATTAGTTATTTATTATAGAATTCTGAAATTACAATTATGTTATTAATAAGAAGAACTTTTCTAATTAGTTAAAAAATTTTATAATTTGGTAGGCACATTATATGGAAAAGATCATTACTCCCTTTCCTTATTATAAGAGACATTTGATGCTTATAGCATGTTCCTAAATTAAGACACTTAAAAGTTGTCTTTACTTTTGTGTTGATTTCCTATTTTACCCATATTTATTGTTAACTCACACTCTCTCTCCTTCCCATTCTCTTTCTTTAAGAATTTACTATTGTTCTCTTTCATGCTCTCTCTCCTATTAATGAGGGCATTTTGAAAAAAAAATTATACTTTTTACACATTAATTGTTCTTAACTAATTTTGTTTAAGTAAACAAAGCATGGAGTACTTTAAACAAAGCATGTTGTACTTTAGACTCATTTGGCTTAATTATAAGTAATCGTATTTACATTTCATAAGACAAAAATCTTTTTTCATGTTTATCTCATCGTATGAATAAAATAAAGAATGTTTTTTTTTTTGTTGAAAAAAGTGACTCAAACTGCATAGAAACATATATACTTCTCCTGTCTTAAATATAAATTCTTTTTTATAATGTAAATTACATTATAAGATTTTTATATTTAAAACCAGATGAGTACGAGAGAAAGAGGCTAATAATTGGGATGATGCGCGAATAATTGGATATGAGAAATCCTATCACACATGGGTGCCCTCGCCTTGATTTATTTATCACTTTTGTTTATACGGCGGTGGTACCATTTGTTGGCGCATACCAAAATCTGCCTCAATCCCTCCATACTTCCACATATCTTCCCCCATCCCCTTCTCCACTCCTTACTCCTTGCTCGCTCTAAGAGAGTGCGGACGCATTTGCATCGGTTCAAAAGTAACCGTTACAGGGACATGTTTAAAAGGATACATAAATATCTTTTTAATTATATTTTATAAAATACGAAATAAATATATGAAAAAAAAATTTGTCTTAACTTAATTAAAATGTGTCCGTAAGCACTTATAAAAACATATTCAAATGAGCTGGAGAAAGTGAATAGTACTCAACCCGATAACAGACCGACCAGGCAATCATTCCGGCCCCAGGAGAGGTGGAGACCATTCTCAATAATTGAGTTGAGCCGAGGAAAAGCCTCGTCAATTTATCTTAAGTTAAAAAAAAAAAAACTACATGCATACATTTCTTAATGCCTTTTCATGTTAAATCTTACGATCTTGTTTGTCAACGCTTAAAAGTACTATCGGCTCTATAATATAGAAGTTTAACAAGTAATTTAAAAATATTAAGAAATTTGATTAAATTAGCTGTTTGTAATAAATATGTATTAAATTTTTTTTAAATTACTCTTATTCAACTATATATATTGAAACTATATTTAGGTAGAAATACCTTATAATTAATAGAAATATTTTTTTAAAAAATTATAAATTAGAAACATAAAATAAACTGAAATCTTATATTTAAAACAGGAGATAATATAAAATATAAAATATGTATTTAAATCTGTGGCTGTTAAATCAAGAAGATACTTTCAAAATCACTTTTAAAAGTAGTTTTAAAGTAAAGACAGAATTTTATTTTATATATTATTTTATACATCATAAAATTACTTTTAAAGTCATGCCGGAGATTCCACCCATATATCCCTCAATGAATTACAATGACTGATGTCTAATTGAGCAAATGGAACAGCAAAAGATGGGTAATGGGATTTTACGGGAAGGGTACGGTGTTGGGTTGCTGCTGGCATCCAAAATTTGGGGGTATCTGTGGTCCCCACTATCCAACAATCACGATCTTCCCTCCACCCCACGTGGTGGCCCCCATTTTTCTCTGGTTGTTAGGTTGCTCAGTTTTTTATTTAAAAAAAATTCAAGCAAAATTTTAACTAAATTCAAGGATTTAACTGTGATAATAAAAAATAAAAAATATGCTAGTTTACCACATCTATCATTATGGGTAAGAATTTAAAAAGGGTGAGCTAAGCCCATACAAGCAAGAAAGGAAAAAGTGCGCTAAGCCTAAGGATTAAGATAATATTTCATTATTATTATTATTTTGCTGGAAAATAAATTTATTAAAAGGGGAGCTCCCTCGGGGGGTAAATGCGAGGAGACCGTATACGGAAGAGGACCATCCGTCTTGTCCCCACAATTTGATGCATCAGCCGCCCCTCAACCACCCCCCCCCTCATGCCCTCTCTCTCATTATTTAATAAGACATTTCTAAGTTTGTTACGAAATTATTCAAATTCCTAATTAAGTTCTTTCTCGTCAGTTTTGAATTTCGTTTTCACTTTCCAACGAAAACCTCAATCTTCACCCAGTTTACTTAATGGCTTTAACCCAGCCTATTTGAAAATTTGTCTTCTACCAACTCTAATAAGAATTTATTTATTGCCCATGTTTTGCTTTTCTTTTCTTCCCCTTTTGCATTAAGATTCTATTTCAAACCAGAAAAAAAAAATGCAGTGATTTTAAATTCCAATAGAGAGCAATAATCGCTTCACACTGTTTTGTATATTTGAACTGGGTGTTAAGAATCGCAATAAAATAATTTTTTAACTTAAATAAAATTCAAGGCTGTCAAGCTGTCACGACATTTTATTCTAAAAAAAATATAAATATTGAAAACGAGTAATCTAATTGAAGACTAACTTTATTCGTCTATAAAAGGAGGTTCCTTTTTTTTTTTGCCATGGAACAAGGCTTGTTATATTATTAATAATAAAAAGTAGTATATAATTATTATATTTAAATTAAAACTTAGTTAGCTTTCATTTTCATTGGGGGAGTCAATGTTCAAGGCAGATGTTACATACAAACAGGACATGCAGCATTTGCTAAATTGTCACTTTCCCAAATGGCATTCCCACACATAAAAGCAACCTTTGCCCAATCATTCCTTTCGAACTCGTTTACTCCCCCTAAAAAGAATTTTGTCTTTTATTTCACCCCAAAAAAACAATTATTATGCTAATAAGATTGGTCCAGCTAGTAAGAAATTTGCTTATAACTTATAAGGTCGTAAATTTGTATCCTACTATGAATTAAAAACCTTATTAGTAGATAATTTATAAGTACTTGTGTAAGCTCATTCTAAGTATAAAGATATGTCTTGATCCTAATGAGTCTCCAAAACCAAACTCACATAAACTATAATAAAACAACAATTACTATATTCCACTCATCATTCTTTTATGGCCATAAAAACTTGAGAGATCCGTATCGAAGTAAATTTTTTTTACTAGCTTACATGTTGCAATCTTCGTTTAGTTAAAAAGTTAATGAGAAAGAAGAAGGGTTCTGTACCCGTTCCAAATGACTTATAAGTACTCCTCTACTTCTATTTATAAGACATTTTTAACATATTTCATACAGATAAAAAAAACCTTAAATTGCATTAACTTTCTATTAAAATATAATAATTTTCTAACTTTACCCCTATTTAATATATACACCTCTAAAAAAAAATATTCACACTATAATAAATTAATGATAAAATAACACATTTACACTAAATTTTAATAAAGTGATTTATAAATAGGACCAAGAAAAAAATTTCTCTTTTTACCTTATAATAGGACTAAAAGAGTAACTTTTTAATTATAATTTAAGAAATACAAAATAGGTATATAAGAAAATTTTTATCTTAACTTACATAAACATGTTTATAAGTGATTTCAAAGATAATTCTAAACATGACTTTAACTCATCAAATGCACAATATAAAGCACAATCAAAATACAAAACCATGACATGCGACCTAATGTTTGACCACCTTTGACTGCTGATGGGGAAAAAGTGATAGTTTCTGAAAACAACGGTAGGACGTGTATGGTTAAGATACGGGGCAAACCGAGGACCTTGAGCCAGCAGGGGAAATATTTTTTTTTTATTTTTAAAATGGCATATAAAACTAAATAAATTAGTCTTACAATCTCCAGCTGTGTCATTAGCTACTAAGAATTTTATGTTGTCAGGCTAAAAAAAATAGCAATTCGAAGTTCAATTTTTTTATATTCAAAATGAAAAAAATTACTATCCACCTATCTTAAATAATTTTTTTGACATTAAAAACATATCTAATTAAATAAAAGTAGCCTAAAACATCACATATTCATAATTATTTTTAACTAAGTAAATAAAAAATAAATTATTTCACTTAAAAGTGTATAAGGTAAAATAAAAAAATAAATAATTTGTTTAAAAAATAAAATATAAAAATATAATCATTGAAGAAACATAAATCATCGATGCATATGGAAGGTCCCACGCTGGCCCGTTACCCGAAACCCAGTCTCTCGTGCTTTACTCTCTTACCCCGCGGTGCCGTGATTTGCGTTCTCCTTCCAAGCCTGGCTGCAACATTCTGAGAGGTATTTTATTATTACTCCAGTGTGCATCTTCACCTTACTCAATAACTACTATTTCAACCTCATTAACCAGTAAACGGTCCATGCATCACAGGAGTATAAAAAAAATCATATGCTCATATATATAGGCCAAAAAAATCCTAAAATGGGTAAAATAAACTGTATACCAACCCTTCATTCCTTCTCATGATATTGCTAAACATGCAACATGGTGATGTCCCATAGTATATTAAGAACGCGGTAAAATGGCATTGAGGGAAATAGAGGACAAAGAGAAGGAGAAAGAGAAAAAGAAGGAGGAATGTCCCTATCAGGCAGACCCGGTTTGTCTGCTTAGCGGAGGATCTTGGCATGTTACTCCGCAGCGTACAGGAGTGTGTGGGTACTGTGTAATTAGCTCCTCAGACCCCCGCGGAATTTCCTTCTCTGATCTTTTTTCTGTTTTGCATTTTTTTTCTCTGCTTCCTTGAATTTCTAGGCCATCATCTTCTTCACCCGCTTCTCCTCCAACCCATTCTCTTCTTCTTCTTCTACACTCCCGCTTTCAAATTTAACGACGCCATACCTTTGCTGTCCCTGCTTTTCGCTTCTTATTTTTTTCAAATTAATTCACCGTTCTAGCCCCCAGAAGGTAAGCCTTTCTCAATTCCATTCTTATCAGAAATGACCCAAATTTCTGTTTTTCTGCTTTCCCCGAAAATTGTAGACTCTCTCTTCACACCTTTTGGAAAACTTAGCCGATTTGGTCCGTGAATATGAATTACCTTATTATCGTTTATGCAGTTACAGGACATTAAGAGGAAAGTTAGAGTTGATTTATGGTTTTGGTCCCTGTTGCTATTGCAGGCATCAGAAGAAGCATTAAAATGTAGTCTGTTAGCAACAGTTTAAGCCATCAAAATCAAGAGTTCTATTTCAGACCTTTTTTCCCTCCTTCATATATATATTTATTTATTTTTCTTTTGGATCTGCATTGGGTTCATCTTAGGGGTTGAATTGAACCTGGGTGATTCTGAAAAGAACTAACTCCGATTCCATGAGGAATTTTTGCTGGTCTAAACAAGTTCCGCTCAACCAGAAAATTGGGAGACGGCTTTCTCTTGGCGAATACAAGCGAGCAGTGTCGTGGTCCAAGTATCTGGTCTCCCCTGGGGCTGCAATAAAGGAAGATGGAGAGGAGGATTGGAGCGCCGACTTGTCCAGGTTGCTCATTGGCGCTAAATTTGCTATTGGCAGTCATAGTAGGATCTATAAAGGTGTATACAAGAACACCGAAGTGGCAATTAAGTTGGCAAGTCTGCCGGAGGAGGACGAAGACTTGGCTTCTTTGCTAGAGAGGCAGTTTAATTCTGAGGTTGCCGTGCTCTTCCGATTGCACCATCCGAATATCCTGAAGGTAAAGCACTGCTTCCTGAAATTCCTCTGTATCTACTGACTTTGATTCTTTTGTCCAAAGTTATGTATCTGCTTGGGACTGTTAAATATCTCAACCAAAAAGGGAAAAAAATTCGACTAGTTATCCGCAGAGACAAATATGAATTTTACTTCTTTTGTTCCTCCTATTCCCATAGATGGTGCTAGAGAAGTTCTTGCAAAGCCGATACTGTTGGTGCCAAATTGAACAGAGCTGAGATTCATCATTGATTTATCTTATTGCTTCTTGCATTGTCGTAAACTGTGATTTGGTAGGTCCCCAGAATGTCCTTATCCGTGTAGTTCTCACTGTTCAGACTCTTACGGATGTTATTGCTGTTAAATTAACAAACTTGGTTAAGTACTAACTGAAATCGGAGTTTTTGTTGGTGATTTCATTACTTGTTTCGAAAACCTATTATATGAGTGCTGAAAGCAGTCTACGCTGAGTTATTTTTTCTTAAAAGAGAAGAGAAGGCTTCATGCTTTGATATGAGAGAAATTGTACATTTCTAGCAGCTATTGACTTGTGTCAGTCCTGCAGCTTGTTGCCGCTTGCAAGAAACCTCCTGTTTTCTGCATAATTACTGAATATATGCCAGGGGGGTCGCTGAGGAGGTACCTGCGGAACCAAAATCCCTATTCACTCCCACCCAAAATTGTTCTGAAATTAGCCCTCGACATTGCACGGGGTATGCAATATCTTCATTCTCAGGGGATACTTCATAGGGATCTCAAATCAGAAAACCTTCTGCTGGGAGGAGATATGCGTGTAAAAGTTGCAGACTTTGGAATCTCATGCCAAGAATCTGAGAGCTTTACTACTAATGAATTTACTGGAACTTATCGTTGGATGGCACCTGAAATGTTGAGAGATAAGAATCATACCAAGAAAGCAGATGTCTACAGTTTTGGCATAGTTCTATGGGAGCTTTTAACAGCATTGACGCCATATGAGAACATGACACCAGAGCAGGCAGCATTTGCGGCTTCCCAAAAGGTATTGTATCAAAATTGTTGACCTATCCTGGAATCTGGCTAGTGTAACAGGTACTATTATTGTGAGAAATAGTAGTCGCGCTTCTTGCTGCTAGCCAGCACTGGATTTAGTATGGAAGGGACTGTAGCTATCATAATTACAATAATGATATCAGTTAGGATTATAAGTTAATCGGATAGAATTTTTAGGGACAGGATGTTCAGTTAGTATGGAGATGTATGTTGAGTATAATGGCACTATCTGGTTCGGCAGTTTGCCTTTTTATGCGTATGTTTGTATAAAACAAAAAATATTGCGTGAATGTCCATGTAATGTCGTTACGGTACGTGTATACGTGTTAGTGAGTTGTTTTCAAAAAGAAAAATTGGCCATCATTGTGCATGATCTTTACCAGCACGTGGACTTGTTTGTGATACCCCTACTACAAGATTGATATGCAATATGGGCAGATGCTAATCTGTTTTGGCTGACATATAAATGATTCTTACAACTCATAAGATTATTGACATCTGCTATACCAGTTATCCAAATCAATGATTGTTGATGTGCTCCCACTCCTCTGACTCATTTTCTCTCACACTGATACAGAACATCTGGACGATGCATATTGATACACAGTTGAATGAATCACTGATTAGTTAGGAAAAATTCATTTAATTTAGATTGGTTTCTGATCAAGTAGAACAGGGTGTGTTCATTTGTATGCGTTTTCCCATTTCTGATGCAAAAACACTTGGTGGGTTTTGTGCAGAATGCAAGGCCACCATTGCCACCTGAATGTCCACTGGCGTTCAGTTGTCTGGTCACCAGATGCTGGGCAGCCAATCCACATAAACGGCCGCACTTCGATGAGATAGTTTCCATCTTGGAGGGCTATTCAGAATCCCTGAAGGAGGATCCAGACTTCTTCTCTAATTTCATACCACCGCCTTCTAATACTAATATCATTAAGGAATACTTACCAGAATGCATTTCTGGTCGTAAATCAGCTTTGTGTAATGCTTAATCTCCTAAACGGCAAATTTGTTCAGTGAATAAGTACGAGCTGTCCATAATCCTTTCTTTTCTAAATTTATGGAGATTCGTTTTTCCCCCTCCTGGTGCAAGAGAAGAAAAACAGCTGTATCCTTCCTGGGTTATCGATGAGTTGATGTGGCTATGGCCATTATTTCTAATACCCGAGAATGTAATTTCTTAGAAATTAATAATAAAAGTGAGTCAGAGTCTGATTCTGAAAATTCTCAGCCGATGTCTCAACAAATCTGAGTAATTTGTCCATGAGCTTGCAATGAAAAATGTCCTAAATAGAAGGTCATTAGCCAGATCCGTTCGTAATCTCTGCCCCTCTAATTGAAAAAGAAAAAACTGTGTATTTTTTTTTTGGCTGAAGTATAAACAAGTCTCCCAACGATGATTCGAACATTGGTTAGTCACGTTGTAACGAACTAACCCCTTCAGCTAGATTCAATCTTTGTTGGTAAAACTGTGTAATTTAATTGTTGGATAAAGAAACGGAGTCGACCCAATCACCATTGGTCTTCTGCTGAAAAGGTTCGTGATTGCGTATTTGAGCCGCTTTTGTCGGCCGAGGTGGGGTGGGCCACAAGAGGGTGTAGAAATTTGACTGCGCCTGGAAATCATCATATCATGACCCAAGAGTCCGAGACTCCTCTTGCAATTCCCTCGCCTTAAATGGATGCATATGCATAGTCTTACATATGAATCGGTAATTTATTTGAACATTAGGATAACTATTGATGCATTTCTCAAATTATCTCTGTCAATACTTCCTCAACATTAACTAAATATAATAATACACCCATGCATTTCAGTAATTTGTACTGTTCATTAATGCCACACACATCAATTCTGCTATTTTTCTTTTTACATTGAACTGGAGCTCGCGCCATAAATGCTTTTTTTCCTTCAAATGCCTCATTTTTAAAAAAATTAAATAAGGGTAGTTCAGAAAAGATATGCCATACTAGTTATAATTAAGTAGGTTAACTAATTTTTTAATTGAATTAAATTAGTTGCATATATTTTAAATTAAGAAGCAGTGAAGTAACATTAATTATCACGCAGGTGTACGATTTTGAAGGATGATATAACGATTTATGTTCCGCCGTTGCAAAATAAATGGGTGAAGTGGGAATTGGGAAACGCAACAATGAGTTCAGATGCACGTGCATGTTTACTTGATATATAGTTTTTACATCATCCATCACCATGTGAATGACAGTTTGGCCGAGTGGTCTAAGGCGCCAGATTTAGGCTCTGGTCCGAAAGGGCGTGGGTTCAAATCCCACAGCTGTCATTCTTTATAGAAATTCTCCGCAGCAAGCGTGTTTTGGGCTAATGCCGGCGCCTTGGTATTTTCTTCTGGGCCAACAAAGGAACAGACTCAGGCTTTTTTGCCACTGGCCCAAAAACTTCTTGGTCCTAACTGCACCCAATCAGTTTGACCTGACTTCCCATTTCTCATTAAAGTAATAGATTGAAATCAGATAAAATAAGTGAAAAACTGAGATGTTAAATAAAATTAACAATAGGAATGTTTTGCCGCCTACTTTTCCTTCCTAATGTTAAATAAATTAAGAAGGAACGGTAAATAAAAATCAAAAGAAAGCCTTTCTTGTGTAATAGCATGTGGAAACAAGATATGATGCTGATATCACTTCAAGAGTGGAGGGAATGAAGTCCTGGGACGCCATGAAATAATTTGTATTTGTCGGGAAACTGAATTTCTGAAGTTGCGCGTGCATTTAAGTAAAGAAAAATTACAAATAAAGACCCTCTACTATATAAAATAGCAATGAGGGACACTGAATTTGGAAAATAGCTGGAAAAGACCGGGTCCCAAATTGTAAATATGAAATCTTAGTTAAAAGATAAAAACGTCCTTCTGCTTTTCATATCCTGTTCCCATATCCATCTCTCTCAATTTCTTTTATGATCTCCATTTTCATCTACTCCATTCTCACAAACCCATATTCTAAAACTTAATTGCATCCACCATCTCTCTCACTAGATTCCTCTATCTTTCTCTCTCTCACCCACAATGACGAAGACGATGAGGCTCGTTATTAATCACTTGGAAGTTGCTTCTCACTGAAAACAAAAACCCAATATCCATTTAATGCTTCTCATAACTTTGATTATGAGCTGTGGACAGTAACTAAAGGACATGATTCATTCACTCGATCGCGAGTAATAGTACGCCACCTAATGATATTAGGAACTAGGATCCATCGTCACAAACCCACCTTCCATGGATAGCTCAGAAGTAGGAACTATTATATAAGATCAACTAATGATATTTATACTGAATGGAAATGGTACGCCACCTATTTAGCATTTGAATGTAAATTGATTAGGAGCAACATTGTGATGAAATAAGAAGGGAGATTAGTCTTGATGTCATTTTGATTCTCATTATAACTTTGTGCCCACCATATCGATGCTCCGGATTGAACCTCAATCTTCACAACATATATATAGCAACATTGTAGAGTTATTTAAATTCTCATTTCAACAGAGGAATTTAAAATTGTACAACAACCTTATCAGAACATGTCATTGGCCTAACTGAACTTGTCATAAATCCTATATCAGAAGTGCTTGCTGTCAAATAAATTTGCAAATTCTTCGGAACTTGTTATTGGCCTAACTGAATTTGTCATCAATCTTATATCAGAGTGCTTGCTGTAAAAAAAAAATGCAAATTCTCATTTCAACAGAGAAATATAAAGTTGTACAAAAACCTTATCGGAACTTGTCATTGGCCTAACTGAAATTGTCATGAATCCTATATCAGAAGTGCTTGCTATTAAAGAAATGTGCAAATTCTCATTTTAACAGAGAAATTTAAAGTTGTACGAAGACCTTATCGAAACTTGTCATTAGCCTTACTTAACTTGTCATTGGCCTAACTGAAATTGTCATGAATCCTATATCAGAAGTGCTTGCTGTCAAAGAAATTTGTAAGTTCTCATTTCAACAGAAAAATTTAAAGTTGTACAAAAATCTTGTCAAAACTTGTCATTAGCCTTACTTAACTTGTCATTAGCCTAATTGAAATTATCATGAATCCTATATCAGAAATGCTTGCCGTCAAAGAAATATGTGAGTTCTCATTTCAACAGAGAAATTTAAAGTTGTATGAAAACCTTATCAGAACTTGTCATCGGCCTAACTGAAATTGTCATGAATCCTATATCAAAAGTGTTTACTGTCAAGAAAATCTGCAAATTCTCATTTCAACAGAGAAATTTAAAATTATATGAAAACCTTATCGAAACTTGTCATTGGCCTTACTTAAATTGTTCTGTTGAAATGAGAATTTGGAGATTTCTTTGACAGCAAGTACTTCTGATATAGGATTTATGACAAGTTCAGTTAGGCGAATGACAAGTTAGTAAGGCCAATGACAAGTTCTGATAAGGTTTTCGTACAACTTTAAATTTCTCTGTTGAAATAAGAATTTGCACATTTCTTTGATAGCAAGCACTTCTGATATAGGATTCATGAAAATTTCAGTTAGGACAATAACAAGTTAAGTAAGGCGAATGACAAGTTTCGATAAGGTTTTCCTACAACTTTAAATTTCTCTGTTGAAATAAGAATTTGCACATTTCTTTGACAGCAAGCACTTCTGATATATGATTCATGACAATTTGAATTAGGCCAATAACAAGTTAAGTAAGGCCAATGACAAGTTCTGATAAGGTTTCATACAATTTTAAATTTCTCTGTTGAAAGGAGAATTTGCATATTTCTTTGATAGCAAGTACTTTTGATATAAGATTCATGACAATTTCAGTTAGGCCAATGACAAGTTATGTAAGGCCAATGACAAATTTTGATGAGGTTTTTGTACAACTTTAAATTTCTCTGTTGAAATGAGAACTCGCATATTTCTTTGACGGCAAGCACTTCTGATATAGGATTCATGACAATTTCAATTAGGCTAATGACAAGTTAAGTAAGGCCAATGACAAGTTTCGATAAGATTTTTGTACAACTTTAAATTTCTCTGTTGAAATGAGAACTTGCATATTTCTTTGACAGCAAGCACTTCTGATATAGGATTCATCACAATTTTAGTTAGGCCAATAACAAGTTAAGTAAGGCCAATGACAAGTTCTGATAAGGTTTGCATACAATTTTAAATTTCTTGTTGAAATGAGAATTTGCAGATTTATGTGACAGCAAACACTTTTGATATAGGATTTATGACAAGTTCAGTTAGGCTAATGACAAGTTAAATAAGGCTCATGACATGTTTCGATAAGGTTTACGTACAATTTTAAATTTCTCTGTTGAAATGAGAATTTAAATAGCTTTATAATGTTGCTATATATATGTTGTGAAGATTGAGGTTCAATCCGGAGCATCGATATGGTGGGCACAAAGTTATAATGAGAATCAAAATGACATCAAGACTAATCTCCCTTCTTATTTCATCACAATGTTGCTCCCAATCAATTTACATTCAAATCCTAAATAGGTGGCATACCATTTCTATTCAGCATAAATATCATTAGTTGATCTTATATAATAGTTCTCACTTCTCAGCCATCCATAGAAGGTGGGTTTGTGACGATGGATCCAAGTTCCTAATATCATTAGGTGGTGTACTATTTCTCACGATCGAGTGAATGAATCGTGTCCTTTAGTTACTGCCCACAGCTCATAATCAAAGTTACGAGAAGCATTGAATAGATATTGGGTTTTTGTTTTTAGTGAAAAGCAACTTCCAGTTGATTAATAACGAGCCTTATCATCTTCATCATTATGGGTGAGAGAGAGAAAGAGAGAGGAATCTAGTGAGAGAGATGGTGGATGCAATTAAAGTTTTAGAATGTGGGTTTGTGAGGATGGAGCAGATGAAAATGGAGATTGCAAAAGAAATTGAGAGAGATGGATATGGGAATAGGATATGAAAAGCAGAAGGACGTTTTGGTCTTTTAACCAATATTTCATATTTGCAATCCGGTCCATTCCAGCTATTTTTCAAATTCAAGGTCCCTCATTGCTATTGTTATATATTGGAGGGTTTTTATTTGTAATTTTTCCTTTAAGTAACTCTATTAACAACCTGTTCGTTGATGTTTTTTATTACTCCCTCCGTTCCTTATTATAAGAGACATTTGATGCTTATAGCATGTTCCTATATATAAGAGACACTTAAAAGTTGTCTCTATTTTTTTGTGTTGATTTCCTATTTTACCCATATTTATTTTGTCTCCAATTCACACTTTCTCTCCCTCCCACTTCTCTTTCTTTTAATAATTTAATTGTTCTCTCTTATATTCTCTCTCCTTATTAATGAGGGCATTTTTAGAAGAAAAAATTATACTTTTTACACATTGATTGTTCTTAACTAATTTTAACTGTTTTTTTTATCAACGTAATTCAGTTATTTGTCTCTTATAATAAGAAACGGAGGGAGTATTTTACACCACAATCATGTGATTGTTGCCATGAATACTGTTGCCAGATAACTCCATGAAAGATGGAGACCCCAGTGTAAGGAAAAGCACTGTTTGCCTTCACTTTTTCCCTTTATTATTGAGTGATTCTCCAAAATGGAATCAAAGTTAAAATAATATGAAAAAAATTGAGTAATCAAAACCTATAATTTAAAACTAGAAAATAAGAAAACTTGAAAGAGTAAAAATTATATATTAATCCTTAAAGTTAAATGACGAGTGGGCCTCCTTTCTGCATTCATTTACATTATGATAATGATATCATAAAGTAACACTTTCCATAATAAACAGCCTTCTCAGTTACTTAACTAGCGTGCACGCATTTGAAGTTTTCGGCAAAATTGCGGTGGTCCTATTATTCCACTTACAAAATTGACGCAGAAATATAAGGAACACATTATTTGGAAAAAGCATGGAAGCCGGATCAATGGGTGGAACCAAATTTGAATAGGATCTAAAAATGGGTAAAAATTATCACTAAAAAAAGAAAACGGGTAAAAATTATGTGTGAAGAAATGCCAAGAAGCGAAGCTGACGAAAGCGCTTTTAAGAGAGACGGGTCCAAGCCTTGACAGGGTCCCTACAATTATTTCTCCCCCACGTGCTCTATCGCAGTCTTCATTCAATGTCCCATCCCCCACCCCAACTTCATGACGCTCCTTCAATTTTTAATGACATCACAATACGCACTTTAATATCTAATCAGAAAATTTAATATAATAGATATAAAAAGTATGATTTTTTTTTTACAAGAGAAATATAATCTAAGTATTGTTGTTTTAAAAAAATATTAAATATGAAAAATAAAAAAATTAAGATATTATTTTAGGATTAAAAACAAAACCATTTATAGCTAATTCTCACAAATAATACCGAAAGGAAGGAAGTGCTTTGTACTTAGAAAGTGTCTGGGTAAGAACAAAATTATGATTTCAGAAGTGTTTTTATAGTATACAAAGTAAATATATAGAGAAATTTATTTTGATTTCTAAAAAAATATTTTTAAAAAGTGATTATAAGGTTATCTAAATATTTTTTTAGTTAAACATGCCCAACTGGTAAAAATACTAAGATGGTTGATGTTTAGAGAGATTCGCAAACTCAAACTGCACCAGTTTTTGTTAGCAATTTTAGCTTTCGCCGAACTCTTTTGGCATCCTTTTGCACATACACTGTATCCATTTATACACCAACGGTATCACAACTATAACTAAATAAATTTAAACGTGCCGCCATCCCTTAAATAATCTAATATTTATCCATTTTTTAAGGTAATCTTTATAATAATAATAGTTTTAGTAAATATACTTGGTTAATAAGTATATTTTAGAAAAAATAGTATTTATTTATTACAAAATAACTAACTTAATTATTTTTTTTAATCTAATCAAATTAATAACTAACCCTCATATTAAGGATTAGAAGCAGTACTAACGTAGGATGAATAAATTTAGTTATTAAATAAGTTTTTACGTTCATAATTTTTTTTATTTTATAAGTATGTCATGTAAAATTAATTTCTATTGTCAAAACTGAGTCGGACAGGTGTACAATTATAAAAAGACTAAATTAATTTTAAGAGAGGGAGCGTCTGTCTCTGTCGCTGATGTTTCTGGTCATTCCAAACACAGTTAAATAGGAATAAGCGAAGAACAGAGGGGAAAGCGTCCGCATTTGTCTTTACTCATTTGCCGGTGGCATAATTGTCCTTAAACAAACACGATGCCACGTGGCATGCTGCCAGCGTGTTGACAAGGACCAAATACAGACAGAATAAACCTCGGCAGTTGCAGTCCCGCGCCAGCAGGCGCGACGTCGCCGTCCTCTCTGACATTCCGAGCCTGCTAAACTTTCTCCCATTTTATCATTTTCAGCCCTTAATTCCACGCTCATCCCCTTTGAATTCCCCATTTTGCCCCCATTCTTTTTCTTAAACCCATAGCCTTAGTCCTCTGTTTCATTATCGCCCCAGGCTAATATATGCATCTCACCCAAATGGTGGAATTTTTCTTCCTATGGCTCTTTTCTATAAATAAACTCCTTTTTATCTCTCCTTCTATCTCTCTCAGAGAACGGGAGGACAAAGCCATCTGGTTCTCATCTTCATGGTTCGTTAATGATTATAAAGGTATGGTTTCCTATTTCTTCGCTTTTTTGCAATTCCCCTGTTTTCTTCCAATTCATTTGCTGCTCTCGTCCAATCAAAAGGAAAACGCAAAAAGGAAAAAGACTCTTTATTCATTTTACTCTTTCTATATTTGCTTCCTGTTTTATCATCTTTAGAGTTCTGGAACGATTTCTTTCTAGGAAATATCTCCTTTCGTTCTCTATGGGTTTGTGTTTCGTGTCAATCGAGCTAAGGTTCGTTATGCATAATACAGTAATTTCTGTTTGTCTGAATTCCTCATGATTATATTTAAACTCATCATCGGAGATCCTATGGGTTTCCTCTGATTATTCTGGATAGGAGGGAAACAGAAAAGGCAAAATATGGAGAGCTTTGACCTTTTCAATAATGCTTTTTGGCCTGATTTTTTCATGCTTGTACTTTGAATGATCATGACTTTGCATACATAATGCCTTGACAAAGCTCCTTTTTTTTTTTTTTTTTTACTACCACATTACAATAAACATAAATTTATTCGGACATCTATGTTTCGATAATCATGCTTCTCTTTGTTTTTCAGGATCATTGGTCTCTGTTGGTTGGATCTGTTGTGACTAGCTTTTTTAATTCTTGTAGATTATCTGCTTGATATTAGTTGTCCCAGCCCGGTAACTTTGGTTCCTAAAGGGATTAGAGATGCCGGGAATAACCGATAACGGAGTTACTGATGAGGGGAAGGCAAATGAAAGGAATATGAATCCTTCCTCCTCTAACTCTAAGGAGGGCTCTACTCCAATTGAGTCACAACATCCAGAGAGTACAGGTGGTGATGGTGCCGTTGAGACCTCTATCGACCAGCTTTATGAAAATGTGTATGATATGCGAAGTTCTGATCGGTCACCTTCAAGGCAAAGTTTTGGATCTGATGTTGATGAGTCTAGGATTGATTCAGAATTGCATCATCTAGTTGGGGGGAAGATGAGGGAGGTGGAGATAATGGAAGAGGAAATGGAGGAAAAGCAAGGTGGTGATGGAATTAGTGAATCATCTTCTAGAAAGGGTAGTTCGTCGAATGATAGGAAGGTGGACAATGTGAATGAGATTCAACCTGCCAGTACAAGCTCTGGCACTTCTGAGAAACCAACCAAACCATCCACTTCAAAATTGCAATCCAAGACAGCATTAAAATCAAAACCCAGAGTCAAAAGTCCTCCTGTGAAGCCTTCTGTTGAGAGAAAGAATGATAAGCCTCTGAAAAAACAAAGCCCAGGAGTTGTTGGCTCGAAGAAATCACAAAATGCTCCTCCTGCTGGAAGGTCAGTGTCACAGAGTCGTGCCAAGAATTTAGTTGAACCAGCATCAGATAAGCCAGAGATGGGTCCAGTTTTGCTTAAGCAGGCAGCGGATCAGATGTCATCAGGGGATAATCCGCATAAAGCTCTTGAATTAGCTCTTCGAGCTACAAAAGTGTTTGAGAAGTACGCTGGTGACAAACCAAGTTTGGACCTTGTTATGAGCTTACACGTTATAGCAGCAATATACTGTAGCTTGGGTCAATACAGTGATGCGATTCCAGTCCTGGAGCGCTCTGTTGACATTCCTGTTGTTGAGGAAGGCGAGGAGCATGCCCTGGCTAAATTTGCTGGTCTGATGCAACTGGGTGACACCTATGCAATGCTGGGCCAGCTTGAGAATGCAATTACGTACTACACCAGAGGTTTGGAAGTCCAGAAACAGATTTTGGGAGAAACAGATCAGAGAGTTGGTGAAACTTGTCGGTATATGGCTGAAGCTCATGTTCAAGCGTTGCAATTTGACGAGGCTGAGAGGCTATGCCAAATGGCTTTGGACATTCATAAAGCAAGAGATTCACTTCCTTCTCTTGAAGAAGCAGCTGATAGGAGGCTCATGGGCCTTATATGCGAAACAAAGGGAAAGCATGAAGCGGCTCTGGAGCATCTTGTTTTAGCAAGCATGGCAATGGTAGCAAATGGACAAGAAGCAGAAGTGGCATCCGTTGATTGTAGCATTGGAGACACGTACCTATCCTTGTGTCGATACGATGAAGCTGATTTTGCTTACCAAAAAGCACTTACAGCCTTCAAGGCCAGCAAAGGAGAGAATCATCCAGCTGTGGCTTTGGTTTTTGTACGTTTAGCTGACTTGTGTAAGAGGACAGGGAAGATAACGGAATCCAAATCTTACTGTGAGGATGCACTTGAAATCTATGAAAAGCCTCTTCCTGGAGTCCTTCTAGAGGATATTGCAAGTGGTCTTACTGATGTTGCCGCTATCTATGAGTCAATGAATGAACATAAACAGGCCCTCAATTTGCTGAAGAAGGCATTGGGTATATATAACGATGCCCCTGGTCAGCAGAGCACAATAGCAGGAATTGAAGCTCAGATGGGGGTCTTGTGCTACATTATAGGGGACTATGCTGAATCTTATAATGCTTTCAAGAATGCTATCTCAAAGCTCCGTGCTATTGGAGAGAAGAAATCAGCCTTCTTTGGTATTGCTCTTAATCAAATGGGACTTTCCTGTGTGCAGCGTTATGCCCTAAGTGAGGCTGCAGAATTGTTTGAAGAGGCAAAGGATATTTTGGAACAAGAGTATGGGCCATATCACCCTGAAACGCTTGGCGTGTATAGCAATCTTGCCGGCACATATGATGCACTTGGCAGGTATTCACTTTTTTGTTCTTTTTCTTGTTGTAACATACCTTCTTCCACCTGTAAAATGCCCTTCATCATTTAGGCATCTTGAGCACTTTGAGTCTTACGCGTGGTTAAGTAACTGAAGTAGGCTTTTATGTTCTTTATATTATTGCATGGTGTTAGGTCTCTTATGAAGCGTTATGACTAGGTACATGCCTGTATCATTTGATTTCTTCAGTCAACTAACGATTTTTACTGCTGAATCAACCTGCAAGATTCAAGGTTTTATTTTCTGATATACCTCATGAAACCTGTGTCACTAGCGTTCCAGAAAAGAACAGATCCTACCAAATGACTGGCTTTGAGGGATAATTGTATTAATACAGATGATGGAACTCACTGGTCCTCTGTGTATGATGTTTATTTCAGGCTGGATGATGCAATTGAAATTCTGGAGTACGTTGTAAGTTTGAGGGAGGAAAAACTTGGGACTGCAAATCCTGATGTATATGATGAGAAAAGAAGGTTGAGTGAATTGTTGAAGGAAGCAGGCAGAGTCCGGAGCAGAAAATCCATATCACTGGAGCGCCTCCTTGATTCCAATGTTTATTCTCTAAACAATTTTGTCATGAGGATGGCTAGCTAGGGCACAGAGAGAAATATAATGCCTTTACAACACAGATGAACAGGTTGTGAAATTCAATTATTGAGGAGATATGAAATGACCGATGGGGGTAATGATTTGTACCATATTTTATTTAAAGATATATATTCTTGTATGATACGATGTAAATTATGCATGGTCTTCCGATATGCTCATTGTTTGAACACTTCGATTGCTGATGCGTCAATATATTCTTATAGATTTGGCTACACAGCTAAAAGCTGAGACTTTTAGTCCCCATCCCCCATATATATATATATAGTTCTGCTTTTTCTAATAATAATTGGGGCGTCTTGCTTTGTGCGCACAATTTCTATGAGGTCTTGTTGATTTGAACACGCTCGTCGTTAGCTTTGTTTTTTAGGCATTGGATGTTTTATGAATTGGCATATATAGAATCTGAGAAAGCGTGACAGTAAAATTGAAGAAGGTGGAGAATGAGATATTCAGAATCACCACTATGCCAGGGCCCAAGCAGATGAAGAATGAGAGGTTCAAGAATCATAGAAGTTGTTGCAGCGTGGTGGAGGAGGACCACCACTCCACCAGGGCCCAAGCTTATGAAGTAAAAGTAAAAGCAGGATTTGAAGGGTTTCAGTAAATGTTATGCGTCTCTCGGAAGTCCAAGAGGGCTTTTGTCCTGTGAAATTAAACCAACTTTTCAGTTATTAAAAGTGTGTTTGGATTAGTGTTAGGTAAAACTGACTTCTATTCTAATTGACTTTTGTAACTGAAATTAGAGTAAAAGTCAGTTAGTGTAATGTGATTTATGTTTGGATAGGTATTTATAAAAAGTTAGTTAAAAAAGTTAAAAGTTATTTGGATGATTAATAAAAAAATTAGTTTAGTTATAAAATAACTAAAAAGGACATAGATTTTATTAAATAGTAGTGTTTAAAATTTTATGTTTTTAATGTGATAATAGTTTTTAAAAAAAATATAAAATTATTATGATAAAATATAAATAGTTTATTTGTCACATTATAAAATAAAAATATTTACTACGGAGAAAAATTTAAAAATACATTGTAGATAATTAATTAAATATACCTAACAGATAAACATGAATATAAATTAAAATTCATTTGGTTTCTAATTAAAGTAAATGAAATTACATAACTAATTAGATCGTAAGCTCTGCACAATTGTTCTATAAGTCAGTTAGAAAAGTTGATCCAGATTGCGTTGGAAAAATCAGTCAGAAAAGTTACTTTTTTTTATAAGTCAGTTAAAAAAGAAACCCCATTCAAACAATCTTCTGAGCGACAATAATTAAGCCACAAAAATCAGTTGCACACTTTCTCATATGTTTTTTTCATCTGCAACGGAGATCCAAACGTAGCCTAAATTTATTTCATGGCTTCATGTTCCTTTTCTGTTCTTCCTAGGAGGCTGTCGTTAAGGTTTGACATGCTCGTTCTTGTCTGGCAAACCCATCTTTATAAACGTGTTTAATCTCTTGCTTCTCATTCTTCTGTTCTAAATATGCTTTCGGCTTCCTGTTCTGGGACTTTTTCTCTTGTCGAACGGAAAGCACATGGGAAGAATCTTGTTAGCGTTTTCTTTTCCCAATAATGCAATGACAAATCATTCCATATCCGTTTATTGACTGGCATAACTCATGAAAGTAGCTCCATGTCATCGGAACCAGTTTGTCTTTTCCAAATTTTTGCTCCGCTATTTTCAATTATTGCCTTGTAGATGCGATAATTTGTTCAATCAATGAATTGAACTTTAATTCATTCTGGAATATTATAAAAAACAAACAAATTAATGTATGTTAAAAAATAATATTTAAAAAATACTCCTCTGGTCCTATTTATAGGACAAAGAGAGAAGGTATTTTTTGGTCTTATTTATAGGGTATTGAGAAATTTTTTTGTATAGATATACAAATTTACCTCTCATTTATTATTATGTTGACTTTGTTTATATAAAGTATAATGTATATTAAATAGGGATAAAGTTAGAAAGTTATTAAATTTTAAATGAGAGTTAATGAATTTTAAGATTTTTTTTTGTCTGTGTGAAATATGCTGAAAGTGCCTTATAAATAGGACCAGATGAGTAGTCAGCATTAAGCCCATAAAAAAAAATTCTATTTTTATATCAAACAGTTACCTTTTAAGTTAGGACGCCACTAATAAACTATGAAAATGCTGAGAGAATGAAAACAGAGTTGGGATCAACTTTATTTGATATTTCACGAGAGGTACAAAGGCAAGGCACACGACATTTATTAACAAGACATAACAACATAAGGAGGGGGGGGGGTAATTAAAATGCGAGGAAAAACTACAAATTAAAGGCACAGAAAGCAAAGGAAACAGGTGGAAGTAAACAAGAAGTAATTAAGAGAGAAGAGCAAGCAAGGATGGTCACTTGGAAGAAGCTGGCTCAATCCCAACAGGCGGCTGAATGATCCCGAATGGCGGACGGGGAGGCGGGCCTGGAACCATTGGGAGCGTAATGGGTTCTGTCACGTGAGCGTCATACTTCCACAGCTTGAACTCTCCTTTCACGAAGTCATAGTACCCTCCGTACAGTCCCATCTTGTTCTTCCTCATCTCTCTCTGCACATATGGATACGTCTGCAGGTTCACCAACGAGTTGTTCACCGATTCCTGCAAACTCACAGCACCCATCATCTTCTCATCTTAGTTCCATATTCCTCCTCATTCACACACACACACACACACACACACACGTTTTAATTACTTCAGCTTTAGAGTAATGGAATGAAAATTAAGTGAACTGACCTTCTCACAGAATTTGCATAACTCTTCGAAACTTGTATTGCTGGGATCGTGTTCGCTCTTCACCTTGATTTTGGCGGGTAAACCAATTTTCACCCACTCATCTATGAAGTCACTGCACCGCCACACTTACACAAATAAGAATTCAAAGCTTAAAATGTCAGGTTTTGATTTGCCTTTTTCATCAAATGGTTTAGACTTACAAGGGAGGAGAGTTATCCTCTGGATGCTCCATGAGCCTTTTGATTCCACCACACCTGCTGTGCCCAATCACCAGAATGTTTGGTATCTGTCAAATCATTGTTTCCCATTCTTAATTACTTTTATATTCACGACCAAAACAGTTTAACATTGTGATGTTGAGCTCTATATATGTGCACCTTGAGGGCTGTGATACCATATTCAAGGACTGCACCAACTCCACCGTACCTAAGCTGTAGGTCCACCAGGACAACGTCAAAACCTTTCTCCCGCAGAGGAATCAGGAAATGATCAAAATATTCTTAATAATTTAATTGAAACGAGCTCAGTGTGAGTGTATATTTACAAACAGTCAAACACAGAATGAATTAACAAAAGAGATGACCTGATCGAAAGGAGGGACCATGTTAGCAATGTTGCGAACCATGAAAGCTTCTCCTGGTTGGAAGTTTAGGATCAGATCGGGGCTCACTCGTGAGTCTGAGCATGCAAACACCAGGAACTACCACCCCCACACGCACACACAAACACACACCATAATATCAGATTAAAACGACAGAAACACACGAAATGAAAGTATAAAGACAGAATATAATTAGTGTGGTTAATTTAGTTACCTGGGGGCTCTGACCTTGGGTAAGTTCCTGGAACAGACCTGGGTTCTTGCTGCCATTTGATAAATTACATCCACACAAATTAAACAAGTTAGCAAGCTAGAAGAGAAACAGTGTACAGTGAGATTTAAATGGTGATTAACATATGTTAATTTACTCGAATATGTTGAACTTGAAGTGGCTGAAGCCGATGTTGATCCTATCGACAGCCGGATCGTCTAATGGATCCAGGTGGATTCCCTGCAGCTCAGCTATTAGCTTGCCGATCTTTTCCGCCGCCACACCCTCCAATTCTTCCTTTTCTCTGAAACACACACACACGCTTCATTATTATAATCATTATAACGCTAACAATGAGTGTGTGAATCTATTACTATTTATGTTTCCCAGTCCATGTTAAGCACAGGTTATGTAGAAGTATATATTATGTGTGTATGTATATATGTTTTCACCTGACAAGCTTCTTAAGCTCTTCGATGGCCAACTCGGAGGACTGCTTCTTAGTCATATTTCCACCTGAAGTCAGAACTGTGGATTAAAATGCACGGTAACAACACTTAACCTGATAAGTAATAGATTTACACATGCCTAATTATCAGAAGCCTAATATTCCATGGAGTTCTAGCTCCGTTCACTCAAAAAGGGGAACTGACAACTAGCTAGAAAATAATGCTCCAGTTTCGTCAATTTCGTAATGATGAATGGTTTTTTTGATCAAGTGACACAAAAAGTTCTGATAGCTGCAAGAACTTTTCTGGGTATAGAAGAGTAGATACATACCCTATTTGCAGTACGAAACGAGAAAACTAGAGCACTGAGGGACACCGAATTAAAGTGGATAATTAAGAAGCTAGCTTGCACACATTGCAGTGCTTTCCATAATACATGTCCTATTTATAGCTGAAAATTATTACTTATTCTAATATTTTAAAAAAAAGTATTTTTAGCAGAGTTTCCACGAGGATAATTCCTGGTTCACTCGTTCTCATGGATCAGTATGATGATGTGTTTGAAAAGAATACGTAAGGTTACGGTGAATGTCTTTTTCACGACCTTGTATGTTCTTAGATAATGAGGATGCAGAGTAGACCAAGAACCACAGAATAAAGGGCACATGAAATGTTTTAACAAGATAAAAAACGGCACATGTAATGTAAATATTATGCAGAAACATGAGACCAACTCACGTTCAGAACGCTAACAGTACGTACATGGGTTATTCATTTGAACGATAAATAGATGTCTACCATATAGTGTCAAAATTTTTTGATGGATCCTTGAAAATAAAACCATTTCGTTGTCCTTTTGCAATCAAGCAGAGAAGATAGGGACTCAAATTTCAAAAGTAACTAGGCTATATATGTTTGATATGGAAGAATCTCTTTTAGCTAGTTAATCTTTTGTTTTTTATTTATTTCTTTGGAGCATGCTGCTCGCATGGAGAAGACAGCATATATATCTTAATCATACAACTCAATCATTAAGTTTATGGCTTTTTGTTTTTTAATCATTTATATGCATATTTCTTAACTCAATATTTCATATGAAATTTTTTTCCACCGTTAACTCACAACAATTTTCGACTGATTTATTTTTTTTTATCCTTATAAGAAGATGAAGAAAGTTTATATTTGAAATGTCAGATCATTATCAACATAAATTGAATTTATAGCAAATCACACCACTCATATCATAAAGAATAAATAATATAACTCATGTCCCATACTTTATACAGCATATGAAACTTGATCACATCTAGCTTCATTTAAATTAAGCCAAAGTTTTGGAAAAAGATACGTGTTTTGTGAGATAATGATTAATACTCCTCCAATTCTAATATAAGACCCACTTTGTAGCAGCTACAAAGTGGATTTTATATTTAGAACTGGAGGAGTATTAAGTAATTATATTTGTTGTATGGTAAATATCAAATCTAATTTGAAAGGTTTAGATTGGTAACATATATATGAAACTTGGAAACTCTTCTCATGTATTTTATAGAGATTAGCTGACAAATAAAGAATGCATGTATGACAGAAACTAAAACTAATTAATTTGCATCGAAAAAAGTAACGCAGAATGAAATATAATTGACCATCACTTTGATATTACATCGGATACTAACTAATTTTGGAAATTGTAATCATTATGTAAAGCAAAGTTTCTGTTTACATATTTACTTAAGTAAGCCATGAGAGAGAGAGAGAGAGAGAGAGCATGAATGATAGAAGGTAGAGTCTAACGGAAAAATTGTTTAGGAACAATGTGGAGTTTATAGTTGAATGCGTATATATGTAGATGCGTGAATATTAGGTGATAAAGAGACAAAATTTTAGGTAACAAACGGCTCAAATTTAACCAAATAATGCTGTCCTTTCTTCTCTTTTTCCACCCCCCTCTATGACAAAAAGTTTACTAGACCAGAAAACCATTAATATAATCCTCACTTTTTTAATGTTTGATCCACCTCGCTTGATGAATTACATGTGTATCTAACTTAAAACATTTAACTAATTACACTCAATACAGATTAGTCTGACCGTGCCCAAAGTAAAGAGAAAATCTGATTTCTCTTAACTAAGACACCGAAGACATATATATGTAAATATATTGTTCTCTTAGAAGCCTCTAAAATTATACGCTTTTCCTTATACTCCATTTCATTCTTATCATTTATATTAAATTAAGATAATTAACTAAAATCTCTCTGTTCTTTTTTTTTTTTCCCCTCCCAGCAATCAACAAATATGTGTTGTGATAAATTTACTTCCCTTAATATAGTCCATCGATTGTTCCCACGTTTTTTTTTTTTGCCAACGGTTCGTCCCCACATTTAATGTGATCTTTTGAAAATTTAACAATATAATATATTCTAAGAGATAATTAACTTACACAAAAGCCAGAACATTCTCAAGATACAATAATATTTTTTCTCTCGTCCACGTAGTCCCATCTCTATTATCTTATTCGTTGCCCATCACCTCATATATATCATCTCATTCTTACGTCTGATCAACTAAGTTCATATGGAAATTTAATAGTAACTTTTATTGCAAGATAAAATTCAAAATCCATTGAATGTGGCAATTTGAAAAGTTGCTGACTCTCCTTTCCCCTCAACTCCATGTGTTGGGTGGGGTCCGGATTCTCTCAGCGGCAGCGTCCCTGAGCGTCTGTGTCCAATGCCTACTATCAGATTCATCTAAGAGCTCACGATATGCCACATCATCAGTCTATTAAAAATGTAAAATAAATGTAATTAATGCTATAAAATTGCTTTTTCAAAAATCAACTATTTTTTTAAAAATTTTTTGAGTGCAACACCTAATTTCTTGAATATATTTATTTTGACCGTAAAGTTTATGAAGAGTCTAAATTAATATGAATTGAGTCACATAAGACTACAAAAAAAGGCAAAGTTATGCCATAAAGTATTTTAATTAAAAATTAAAAAAAAGTCTTGTCCAATTTGAAAGTGTTTGAATGAAAACCAAAATATGATTTTAAAAATGATTTTAAAGTATAAGAAGTAAATATATGAAGGGGTTTGTCTCGATTTAAAAAAAAAAAAGCCTTAATTTGCATAAGATTGAACTTGGATAAATCTTCCAATTTCAGATAAATGAGTCCAAAAAATTATATATAAATATTTGATAGTTGTTTCATTCTTTATGGTTATCTAGAGTTTGTACCTCTCATAAATTCTCTAGCTAAAATGAGGCAGGTGAAAAAAACTGGATATTTCATGGTAAAAAAAACTCCTAGCTGAAAGCTAGTAAACAAATTTACACTATAATTGGGATTTATTTCTAATTTTTAAATTTTAATAGCATCATGATGTGATGTAATATGAGCGGTGCTAGATTAATTTTAACGGGTGCGATTTGGACGCTGAGGGACGCTGAGGGGAAGAGGACGCTGAGAGTATCCTCTTCCACGTGTTAGGTGGGCAGAAATGACCGAAACTCATTATGACTGAACTTTTTTGAGCTACCAATTAGCGCATTCAATTGGGACAACTCGGGTCTTAATCAAACCCAGAATCAAGTTTGCGATGTTCTGCCTTTGTTTCGGAAATTAGATTGGCCATGAAACATTAAATCACAGGAAAAGTTAAGAGATAACCACATGGATCAATTTTATTCATTAATTTGGGACGGTACGTACAAAAGCGAAAGCGGACATGAACAGATTATTTGGAAACAAATTACAAACCGTAAAATATTACTCCATTCAAAAGGCACACAATAAGTTGATGAAGTGAATGGGCATTAATCTAAGAGAGAAATGGGTTGGAATGGGGCAGGGATAATAATGGGTTCAGTGCTGTGATGAGAATGGTACTTCCAAAGCTTGAACTGTCCTTTCACAAAGTCATAGTATCCTCCCATCAATGCCAAATTGTTCATCTTCACATATGGATATGTCAGCAGATTCGCCAACGAGTTATTCACCGACTCCTGCCATTATATCATGCAAGATCCCATATATATAAAACTTCTTCTTCATTATATTATTGTTCACAACTTCATTAGGTATATACATATATATATGTAAATGAAATTACATAATTAATTAGCTGACCTTTTCACAGTATTTGCACAAGACTTCCATAGGCGTATCGGGGTCGTGTTCGCTCTTCACCTTATCTTTGGCGGGTAAACCAATTTTCACCCACTCGTCTATGAATTCACTGCACCCACGTACATATTAGAATGTATTACTTAATTCCCTCATCCATAAATTGAAAAATGAATTAAAAGTGTACATATATAACGTTGAGGTAAAATTCTAATAACAAACACGTTAGATGAACTCAAAGCGTAATGATAGGTTTTGAATCGCCGTTTGATCAATGGTTTAGCCAAATATAGTTCAAGGCTTTAGACTTACAAGGGAGGAGAGCCATCCTCTGGATGTTCCATAAGCCTTTTGATTCCGCCACACTTGCTGTGCCCAATCACCAGAATGTTTGGTATCTGTCAAATCATTACAGTTTCCCATTCTTAATTAACCAGTTTTGTCTTTAATTAGGACTAAAACAGTTTAGCATCGTGATATTGAGCTATATATATATATGTCTTATGAATAATCTGTCTGCACCTCAAGTGCCGTGATACCATATTCAAGGACTGCACCAACTCCGTTGTCCCTTAGCTGCATATTGGTCCAATAGAACAACGTTAAAACTTTTTCTCATGTGACCGGAAGAAATAATTAATAATATTCGTAATTTGATGCAATTGAGTTATATTATATATAGACAGAGAGGGAGGGAGGGAGGGAGAGAGAATGAATTGATAAAAAGATGACCTCGTACGGAGGGACCATGTTAGCAATGTTGCGGACCATGAAAGCTTCTCCTGGTTGGAAGTTTAGGATCAGATCGGGGCTCACTCGTGAGTCTGAGCATGCAAACACCAGAAACTACCACCACACAACGTCCACTCAGATTAAAAGGACAGAAACACATGAAATAACGATATGAAACAACAACGAGAAATATATAGCCAGATCCAGTAAATATTACTAGTAATTCTTCACCTTGGGGCTTTGGCCTTTGGCGAGTTCGTTGAACAGATCTGGGTTCTTGCTGCAATTTAATATACATATACGTGATTTAATTATTAAAAAATGGAAATGCCGGTCATAAGAGAACTATATAGTAAATACATATTGAGGTTAATTAATTTACTCGAATGTGTTGAATTTGAAGTCACAAAAGCCAGATATGATCTTTTGAACAGCAGGATCATTAGGACGCAGATCATCTGCTTTTCCCTGCAGCTCAGCTATTAGGTTCATGATCTTTTCGGTTGCCTCATCCTTCAAATCTTCTTTTTCTCTGCAACGTCCCAATCACAACTATAAATCACACACACACACACACACACTCATATATATGTATATATCATATTAGATGCATTCTAGTGTACGTCCATGCGTTTACTATAATTTTCACCTGAGAAATTTCTTCAGCTCTTCCATGGCTGATTCGGGTGACTGCTTGGCCATAGTTACACCTGAAATTAAAATCCATGCATCCAATTAAACCCTTCTCAACTAGTAAAACAAATTTAAGCATGAAAGCTGAAAACTATGAATAACAACAAACTTGATATATATATATATAGAGAGAGAGAGAGAGAGAGTAGAAATTGTATAAGGATCAGAGGTTTCATAAATTTAAGAAGGTAAATTTTTCATTAATGGTAGATGAGCGCTATAGAATGAGTTTTTCTGGATATGGAGGTAGATACCTGTAAATGACTAAATGTAAACAAGAATATGTAAGAATACTCAGAGAGACACCTAGCGTTGCACACATCCCATTGCCTGCATGCATGTCCTATTTATAATCTAGAAATATAATCCCCCTTCTTTTTTTTTTTTAATCAAACCTAAAAATTATTAATCTTAACAGAAAACGTGTTCTTAATTTTAACAGATTTTTCACGGGGTATGCTCTCCGGTCCACTTGTACTTAGTGTGACGATGGGTTTAAGAATAAATATATGAAGTTCAGGATAAGTCAGTGGCGTCATTTTCCCTGTCTCCTTGTATATTTCAATTCATATAATTAATGATTATATGTTTAAGACTTTTTATTTAGTTTGAATATTTTAAGCTAATAAAACTCGAGTCATGGACCTTTTTCAAAGTAAGTTAAGTTAGAATGGTTTGAATCTGAAAGCATTCATAAATTCCCTTCTCAATTATATTGTTTTAGCGACTATTCATTCTTTCAAGCAGTGTTTTAAAAGCTAGACTAGATATCAAACCGGAAAACCTAGCGGGTCATGGTTCGTTCAATCAGATCAGTTGGATCGGTGGTCAAACCGGTGACATAATAATTAAATAAAAATATTTATATATGCATAATAATATAAATTAAGTTTGTTTATAATTATAATTATATTATAACATATGTAAAATAAAAAATGAGATAGTATTAAAAATGTTTAGCACTTCAAATATTTCAACATGTGTGAGAATATCCTATTATAAAATGATATAATAAGATCGTAAGAGTGAAAAAAAGCAAAGATGATCTTGGTAAAAAAAAAATTTGAAAAAAAAGAGGTTAAAAACACATTTTGTTTGCAAGATGTCTAAATATAACTAAAAAAAACAGACTTCACCAAAAAAAAAAAAGGAACTAAAAAGAGCAGAAGTGGAAGAGTAAAGTCAATGAAAACGCGGATAATATAATATATTATTTCTTTAATAACAACACGTTTTTCGAGTTCTAGAAAAAGATAAACTTTAGCACTTCAAATATTTCAACATGTGTGAGAATATCCTATTATAAAAAGATATAATAAGATCGTAAGAGTGAAAAAAAAGCAAAGATGATCTTAGTAAAAAAAACAAATTTGAAAAAAAAAAGGTTAAAAACACATTTTGTTTGCAAGATGTCTAAATATAACTAAAAAAAACAGACTTCACCAAAAAAAAAAAGAACGAAAAAGAGTAGATGTGGAAGAGTAAAGTCAATGAAAACGCGGATAATATAATATATTATTTCTTTAATGACAACACGTTTTTCGAGTTCTAGAAAAAGATAAACTCATTTGCAGTAGTTAGTAGATGGGTTTGATGCTTTCTCTCTCTTCTATTGCGTTGCATTTCTTTTCTCTTCCCTCGTCTTTCTTCTTTGTCCGTCTTTCTCCTTCATCTCCGATGACTGTTATTTTAAGCAGAACTTAGGCCAGCCGGTTACTCCAAAACCGTTCCGGTTCCCGAGCTAATAGCGGTTTTCAGTTCAAAAGCCAACTCAAAACAGCTTAACATCAAAGATGGTTTTTAAACATGGCTTTAGTCGCCCTCATCTTCAATTGACGGCAGATCGACCAGAACGCCCGGTCCGGTCCGATCCTAAAAACACTACTTTCAAGCACTAGAATTAAACTTTCATAGTTTGATTTAGAAAAGAATTAACTTAATATTTTAAAAGGTGAGCTAAGGACCATGTGAAAAATGAGAATGTATGCTTTTTAGAATTAAATAGATGCAATGCACATGTATGCTTGTGCGTACACATATATGTGGCCATTAAAACCACGTTAGATTAATTGCACATATGAATGAGTTTCCATCAAAGATAATTTCAATACATATAGTTGAAGAGAGTATTTGAAGAAACCAACACAAATTCGTTAGTTTTGTAATATTTATAAATTAACTAGTTATCCAAAAGATTAGAGGCGGTAATTATTTGAAGGGGGTTTGATAAAATGATGTGTGGCTGCGCCTAAAGTCACATGCGAACAACGTGCTCGTTGTCAGTTTAGGACCACACAAGGAGGGCTTTTAAAAAAAAGGGGCTAGTGGCTGGGATTACGTCTTGTGATGGGTCATCACAATATTAGTAAACTTTAACATTGAAATTGAATAATCCGGCATGACTAAATTAACGGTCACTGAAATTGTGATTATACGAACGATACAAAATTTCGGATCTTAAAATTATGCTTAGTAGCACATGCCGCAAAAAAATTTAATACTACTATTGATTTTTAATATAAGAGCTAGTTGACTAATTTGAATAAATTAAAAAAGTTTGTTAAGTTAGTTATTTGTAATCAATATGTGTTATCTTTTCTGAATGCCTTTACTAATAATATGTTTAATTATAACTACCATTTGGTGAAATCTTTAACATAAGGAACTACTACAAGGATTACCTTAAAGAACTAAATAACTACTATCTCCGGTTCTAATTATAAGGCCTCGTTTGTAATAATTATAAGGCCTCGTTTGTAATTTACAAACGAGGCCTTATAATTAGGACCAGAGATAATATAAAAAACAAAATGAATTAGAGTATTATATTTATAACCAAAATAAAAATCAAATTATCCCATGTAGTCACAATTACTTAACGTGAAGGTTATGCAATGCCAAGCATTTTGTGGGGGAGCATATTGATTTTGCAGTGGTAGGTGATGATTTGTTTTTTCCCCTTATTTTTCAAACTCTGTATATAATTCACGTGCCTTTTGTTTTTATTAGAATGGCAAGGAATCTAATCACGATGCTATTTCTCCTCTCTCTCCAACGCCTACACGTTTCATTAGGTAAAAAAACTAAACTTCCAATTTTTTCCCCCTAAATCATAGGTATCCTCCTACTTGAGGCACTGTCGGGCATTAAATGTGAATACTTCTTCCAGCAGGGATTTGAACTTTGGTTCGTCATGTTATAAGAGACTAGTCTATTCTGCTAGACCAAACTCCTGTGGGTTAAACTTTCAAATTTTCAATTCTCTGAAGTAAGTATTCATATGGAATGACAAGAGGGTTTTTTTTTTTTTTTGTTTTTTGCCAAATCACATAAATCTGATAAAGATAGGGTTCTCCTTTCATTTTAATGTTGGGTCAAGTCCATCATGCCATGAATGAACTTATGCTCTTGCTACCCATTTGGTTAACATTAAATTATCCAAAAATGAAAAGAGGAAGGAAAGCCCAGGTCATTGTTCAGGAGTTTTGGGCTGCACATAAGTCCATTCAATTGAACCAAGCGGGCTCCTGTCAGTATCCAATACTCTTCCGATCCTAATTATAAGACCCAATTGACTTATTTGAGGAGATTAAGGAAGTAAGTTAAGTTGGTTATTTATAATAAATGAGTGTTGTTATTCCTAAAATATTCTTACTAATTAAGTATATTGGCTAAAACTATCATTATTAGAAGGATTATCTTGGAAAAAAATGCATAAATATAAGAGAGAAAATGGATTGGGTCTTATAATTAGGACCAAATAAAAAGTCAAATTGGGTCTTATAATAAGGACCGGAGGAGTATTGTTTATCATTAGTCAATATTTTTCTTTCTGTTATGTATCAAAAAAAAAAAAAAACTTCTATCTGTTACGGGCCCAGGTTCTGAACGGCATATTTTATTGTTGATTTTGTTATATATAATCATTTATCTATCAATGTTGTTTATAGTTTAATTTTAGTTTCTATAATTTTGAATTGTAATTTTTTATATTTATACCTTTATAACAACTTAGTTTGAGTTAATGCTTTTAAATATGTGGACTCAAATTAAAATTTGTTAACAATCTACTGATAAAAACCTAAACTCATTTAAAACAGAGACAAAGATTAAGTTTTAGTTTTGGTCTTTATATTGTCATTAAACTCAAACCAAGCCCAAAAAAACAATATTGAAATGAGCATTACATTACAATAGGTGACAAATAAAAAATTACTAATATTAGTCGTTTATTAATCACTAACATTTTCCAAGATAAAGACAAAATTATTACAATTTTAAACCCAAGAAAAACTTAAGAGCGCAAATGTTCCTGAGCAAATTTTTGGGACAAACTTGTAATTTAACCCAGAGAAAACAATGGTAATCGGCAACGGGTTGTCGATGTGCAATTATATGCAAATCTGCACAGTTTGGTTGTCCTTGCTCCTTAGCAGAGGCTGCCCCCAGCGCCCCTCGCCTACGATAGCATTGCATACGATACCAGGGGAGCAAGACCTCGAACTACCCTTTTTCTTCTCCAATTTCTTATTGATCCTTCAATCTTCTTCAGCTGCCAGGAAATACACACACACATACGTATTTGCTCTAAGTGAGCATGGCTACCCAATCGGCGGCTCCTCCAGATACTTCCGACGATAAACTTCGAAACCCAGGTATGATTTTCTGTCTCTCGCCCTCTCTCTAAGCTAGTACTCTGGAAGGTCCTGAGTTGAATGATTTGACCAGCTGTTTAGGGGCTCAGAAACTGGGACAGAAGTCTGGTAAATAGTACATGATTTCATTCATATAATTGTTGTCTCATGCGTGTATTATGTCTTCAAGCTAAATTTTTAATGTTGATCTCAGTGCCAAATTTCCCGTTTTCTGATAATTCTTTTCTGCAAGAACTTTCATGTCTATCCAATTATACTTTAACGCTAAAAATAACTTCTTTTTGTTGTATTCTTCGCATATTTGGGTACCCATTGCCAACTTCTTTACAAGATAAAAGCATATTTTCCTTGTGATTTTCTTATCTTTATTGACTTTCTGATGGAAATTTCAACATCACATCGTTCATTAGCTGAATAGAGAATTTCAAGTCTTATTAGAACTTTTGGGAAGGAAATCATTTTAAAGACATGTTTAATTGGCATGATAAATCTAAAGCTTTAATTTATTCTGAAACATTTACATTGTATGTATGAAGGACAGCTGATTTTACTACCAATAGTATCATATGCCTTTCCTACAATGTTTTATTCCATTTTTGTCTTGCTGAATGTTGTCATATCTGATTGGATGTGCTGGCAGAATGTTTTGAATAAGATTTAGGTTATACCAACCGCAGTAAATGATAAAACTCGTTTGGTGGTTTTCTTTCTGTGGGTTTAGGTCCTGAAACGATGCAACCAAATGTTGATCAACCCCAAGAAGAGCCTGTAAAACAGAATTCAACATCACTATTTGTTAACTCACAACCTATGCGGGAAGAGCAAGTGCAGAATGCCGTGAAATTTCTATCACACCCAAAAGTTAGAGGCTCTCCTGTCATATACAGGAGATCATTTCTGGAGAAGAAGGGCCTTACGAAGGAGGAGATAGATGAAGCCTTTCGCCGTGTGCCGGTAAGCTAGTTATTTGGTCAGCTTACTCATTTTTCTACATTTTCTTTCACCTGAGCATGTATAACACAGCCAATTTATTTTCTTCTTTGGTTTGATCTTCTGTTTTAATTCTTGCTTTCCCTGCAAATCACAGGATTCGCCTCCAAATGTGATGACATCTGGTGAAAATAAAGGTGAAAGGTCTAATATTGAAGTAGCAGTTGGGCTTCTGTTTCTTTTCTTTCATTTCTTAGTTCAGCTAGATTGCCAGTGAAAGCATCCATTTTGTTTAACTAGGGCTGGACCGATTCTTGCATCACTTACCTTCCTACATGACATGTAAAATTCACAGATGGGCAGCTGAAGGGATCATCAAACGTTCAGCAACAAGCCCTGGCACAGAGTTTGCAGCAGGGTGCACCTACTTCTAGTACAACTGTTTCATATCCCAGATTTCGCTGGTCCCAAGTCATCATAGCAATTGGATTTCTTTCTGCTTCAGGTGTTGGAACAGCTTTACTAATAAAGGTATTTGTTGGAGACCTCTGTATAGCTAGTATCATAGGGCATAAAAGCATCTTGCATTGATCTGTTCACTTTTTTAGTGACTCATATCCTTTCGTGTATTTAATGTACTATTATATGCATAAATATTTTCTCTTTGGGTCTGAGCCTCCATTGCTATTTTATAGAGGTCATTTCTTCCTCGATTAAAATCTTGGATACGCAAGGTTGTATCAGAAGATGATGAAACATTGAAGAAAATAGTCTCAAAACAGTCGTTGGTAGAAGAAGCAGCGCTGGCTGCAAAAGCTGCTGCCACCGCAGCTGCGGACGTGGCAAAAGCAAGGCAGGAAATGCTGCTTTCACAAAATGAAGGTGGCTTTAATTCAACATAAATTAGGATAATTTTTTAGATTTGCTTGTCTGGTTCCACATTGATTATGACATCTTTGAGTTGTGATAGTGATTCTCTTTGCTTCTGCATCTGGTCTTATACTTTGCAGATAAAAGATACTTTGGAGAACTTGTGAGCCTTGCAGATCAGCAAGTACAAGAAATGAAGTTGTTGACTAATGAAATAAGAAGATTAGAAGGTACTCTTGGAACTGGGATTGCGTACTTCGTCTGTTAGGATGAGATGACCAATGCCACCTACAATATATGATTTAACAAGTAGTTTGGTTTTTAATTCATCAATTGCACTTGTGTTGGCATATCTGTCAGCAATGCACAAGTTTGTGTGATAGGAGAACTTGTGAATATAAATCTCATAGGGATTTTACCAAGCTCCGCACTAAAGTTTTTGCTTATCTGTTATTACTCTCTGGCCAAATTTTGGTCGCTTCCAGGCCAAGCTTTAGCACATTGATTTTATTGATTATCATCTGTTTCTGTTCTGCCAAAAAAACTAGTTTCTAGTGGAGCCACTCTTTTGGAGCAAGATGACCACCGAGTCACTCAAGCAAGTTCAAAGGTCAGAAATATATAGGCATATGTGGCTATTTTTTTAAGGATTTTTAGTGAAACTTAGGCATGCCTTCTCTTATCCTAGTTTGAGTTGCCTAAAATAAGTTGTGTTTTGACTGTAATATTTTTCCCCTATCATCTGGGCAGAGACTGATTGCAAATGGCAAGGTGGACTATAACATGCATTCAGGTTAGATACATTAATTAAAGTATAATTGTCTTTTTTCCCCCCCTTCAAACCAATGATTTTCTGAAATTTCACCTATCATGAAATTGTCATTTGCAGGGAGCTATTCATCAACACCTGCTTCTGCTAGACCATCTGCTGCACCTCATCCTAAGTCATATATGGAGGTAAGTCATTATGTTGTTTTTCCTTTTGTCTTTTTGTTTTTGCCTCCTTTTCTTTAAGGGGTAACATCCAAATGCGTGGCATTTTGAATCAATTAATTGAAGATAATAATAACTGTTTTGGTAATCTAAAATGAAATTTATGCTAAGTACTTTGGAATTGGGCTCTAGATTCAAGCTTCTTATTATTTTTTTCTTTTTTAATACTATGTATTTTTTTTACTCATGCTTTGGAAAATGATCAAGTCAACACTGCTAATTAGGCATGCAGGATTAGGTTATGCAACTAGCTCTGCAGACTGAGTTATTGAAAAGGTTTTGTATCTATACTAAAATGTTATTTCCAATATAAAGTTATACTCCTCCGGTCCTTATTATAAGACCCAATTTGACTTTTTATTTGGTCCTAATTATAAGACCCAATCCATTTTCTCTCTTATATTTATGCATTTTTTCCAAGATAATCCTTCTAGTAATGATAGTTTTAGCCAATATATTTAATTAGCAAGGATATTTTAGGAATAACAACACTTATTTATTATAAATAACCAACTTAACTTACTTCCTTAATCTCCTCAAATAAGTCAATTGGGTCTTATAATTAGGACCGGAGGAGTATCTTATATCTCAGATCAGCCTAATATATTGATATTGTATAGTGGGCCTACAATGCCACGTACCTTGATTAAATACACTAGTTGAAAACATTTTGAAAATTAAACCTTTGCAGGTTTGGTTCTCGGGAGTCATAACCATGTTTATTTGTTGTGAAATTTCAATGACTCTAGCATGGGCGTCAAATTTTAAATTGAGCCTTTTGGCTTCCCTTAGCCTCTCCCTAATTTTTTAATGTTTTAATTAAAACTTAGCTTAGGCTCTTTTTTACCTCCAATGAAAAATTCTTCTTCCTTTCGTTTTGGTACAAACATTGACCTCAGAATCCCAAGGTCAAGCCTTCTAGGGCTCACGATGGAGATCAAATTTGCCAGTAGGCTTATTGATTTAAGATGTGTTGTCCGTCATGTGAATTTTCCAAGGAAAGAATAAAATCTAATGCACTTTCGACATGCAAAGCTGCTCTGGTCGTTCTTGTCATCTATCAAGACTGTTGACTGTTGAGTACCTCAGCTCTGATAACTGCCTAAAATTTAGTAGCTCAACGATTAGTTGCTCTTTTTTTATTTTCATTTTTGATGTGAGAGATTTAATGGATATAGGTTGTAATTCTTTTAGTATGCAAAGTTTCCAATACTATTTTCGTTATATTTTGCAGATAATGGCCATGATCCAGAGAGGGGAGAAGCCTTCTAACATTAGAGTATATTATCTACCCTCTACACTGCATTAGTCTACTTGTGCATTAACTTTATTCTACCTCATTTCTGTATCATAGATTTAATACAATTAGTTGATTGAAGTAACATAGAATAAAATAAACGGGAATAGGGGTACTTAGAAAATGTGGTTAGTAATAGGGATTGTTAAATATTGGGTTTAGCATTTTTTTGCCGGTCATTGTTATTGTTTCTTCTTCTTCTTCTTCTTCTTTTTTCCCTTTTTAAAATAGTGCTGGTTTTGATGCAGGACATTGATGATCGGCCCCCCAATCCGAATCAACAACCTTCAAATCCTCGCATGGCACCTAGAGCCAAGGTTCCCCCCCCCCCTCCTCAAATATATTTATTTCTCAACATATTAGGTTTATGATTTTTTTAAAAGAAAATAACATTATTTTTACTTTTCGTAACGTAACGTGTCGGAACTTTACAATGGCTTATCTATGAAGAGTAATTATCTGAATAGCCATGGGCAGTATTTATGGTTTATAGCCTGGCAGAGGCAGTTTGATTGATGAGTGATGACCGTGTGAAGATAGTATATCTAATAATCGGACCATCAAGGATATTACTTTGGAAATTTCTCGATTGAATTAGTCATCACTCAGCAGTGATATTATGTTTTAATTGAAGATGAGACAGGATCGCCAGAGTAATGGTGAGGTTCTATGTATTTGATAAGAAAGGAGCCATGGGCAATGGAGCCATATTAAGGCAGCTTTTAATTAATCCCATAACATAATTCATGGGATCTCTTTGTTATGGAGTAGAAACCACGTAGAATTCTCAACGTTCCTTTCCAGCGGATAACTACACGTGAAACTGATCACTTGTCTCCACTCTTGTGCAGCCTTGGGAGGTTAGTCAGGTGCAGAGCACCCATACCCGAATGCTTCAATCTCAGGTCAATGGTGGAGACTTGAGTTCCAAGATTCAAGATGCCTCCATTGAAGTGAATGGAGACACTCCAGTTCCCTGGTGGCAAAGGAAAAATGTTAGAATCAGTCAGATGGATAGTGGCAATGAGCATGCCACAGCGCCTTACAGTGCTCCATCTAGTCAGCAGCAGCCAGTGAAACACACATGGGTTCCTCCTCAGCCGCCTCCCGTAGCAATGCCAGAGGCTGTTGAAGCCATTAGACGGCCCAAGTCAGTGGCTCAGAAGGAAGAGGTGCAAGATGATCAATCAGCAGCCCATTCTTCAGACATGTCTGGTGAGGTGCAAACCATCCCAATAACATCTGAACTTGAAGGCGCTACAGATGACAGCGGACTCAGCTCAATGCCCAACTCTGGTGCGTTACTGGCGGCTCAGGAAGTCAACTAATAAAGTCAGGTCAAGTTAGTTAATTAGCTTGTTTTATCATTGTGTGACATTGGGAACAGTAGTACTAGCTGTTGTTCAAAGTTCAGGATGAGCTTGAAAGAACCTTTGTTTTATAGTCATACTTAGTCTGAACTTTTGGCCAGTCATCAATGCAAGATACATACATATCTTCTTATGATAGAATAATATTGTAATTTTTAGCAAGCAATGATCAATGAGTGTTGTTGTACACTTGTAGTCTACGAAATCTTGAGCATTCCATTATGGATTTGTTTCCTTAAACTTTTACTGACACAAATTAATACAGCAACATCAAGAATGTGTGTGTAAAGAACATTACGTGGCAGCCATGCATGCTTCTTAGGTTGGTCATTCCTTGTTAACGCGAAGTCTACTATTTAGAATTTACCGTGGCTAAAAAGCTTGAAGAAAGGCAGGTTAGTTGGGGGTCAAATGTTTTTATAAGTTCTTAAACATCGGATTATAAGGTCTTGTTGACAAATAGTAGCTCGTCGTTGTCACTGTCCAACCGATCAAACATGCAGGCTTCTGCTCTGTGTGTGAAGCCTGCAGGCGTCTCAATTTGACTTTAATTTTATGCTCTTTCTTTTTAATTTGGTTTAGTAGAAAGGGTTAGTCCCTTACAATGTGAAAAACCAAAATTTGAATTCCTGTTAGGAGGGATGTTCACATTTAGAACCCGATAATACCTCGAATAGGGTTGTCTCCAATAAGAGAATACTTATGCTTTAACAAAAAAAGATAATGTTGCTACGTTCCCATGGCCTGTAGACATGCTGGGGCAAAGGAGTCAACTGGTAGTATGTGTGTGTGAGCATATCATGGAATAAATCACTAAATCAGTGTTGCTCTCTTGATGAAGTTAGAGACCAAACATAAAATAGAACAACCGGCAACATCAATGTTATCGAATTAGTTTCGGACTGGAATTCTAGCCACTTCAACATTTTAGTGAATCATAGAACGAATGGTTTTAGATGTATTGCCTCTGATCCTAAATATAAGAGTTAGTTAGCAATATTAAATATAAAATTTCAATCTACTTTGTCTCTTAAATTTAAAATGTATTTTAAAAAATATTCCTATTAATTATAAGGTATTTTTACGCAAGTGTAGTTTCAATGTACATGATTCAATAAGAATAATTTAAGGAAGTTAACACATACTTATTACGAATAACTAATTTAACTAATTTTTTTAATCTCTTTAAATATTATCTCTTATAAAGTTAGGAATTAGGGCTGGCCTCGCAGGGCTGGCGAACTTAAAATGGTTGGCCTTACAGGGTCGAAATTTAAAAAATACCTCAATTTACTAACCCCAACTCTTAAACTAACGGGCTTAGGGGCGATCTACATGCTTTTAGCCCGTTTAAGAAAAAAATTATTTTTTATATTTCTCATATTTTTATAAAAAAAAATAAAAATAAACCAATAAAATTATTAATAAAAAACATAAATATGAATACAATTAAGCTATAAATACAAAATATCATCATATATAAATATCTATCAACATCCAAGAACATCTAAAACATTCATTAACAAGATAACATCATAAAGTTTTATTTGTAGTGCAAATGTGCAATGAACAAATATTATCATTAATCTTTTGAGATTTCATCATCACTATAATCAATTACTCTTCTTCATAAGTATGCTTTTCTTTCGTTAAAAAAATATCAAGTTTTTCTTTTTTATAAGAATTTTACCTTTACATTTTGAAATCTAGCTATTATTTTATTTTAGTTTGAGAAATATTGTTATTGAAACTCATAAATTTCTAATTCAGATTATAGAATCACAAGTTATATAAGTATAAAAATACTCTCTTATCAAATATATATAGTTTAAAAATATTAATGCATATAATATAAATCAAATCATTATTAAAGTCCAAATTAACTCATTTTTTAAAAATTTAATTGGACAAATTATTGTCTAAAACTAAATAAATCAGACCATTCTGTGAAATTTAATTTTAAAATGATAATAATAACTAAATATTTGAAATATTATTAACAATGTAAAAAATTAATAATATTAGAATTGCACAAAAAATTTTAAAAAAATAAAAATAAATTATAAAAGGGCCTAAATGGGTCGGCCATCGGCCTTATAGGACCAGTCCTATAAAGCTTGTTTCTTATTTGAGGAAAAAAATTTTCTTGTCCTTTTGTAACTTTTGGGCTTAAAAAGGCTAGCCGACAAGCTCAGTCTGTTTTTCCGACTCTAATCTCTTATATCAAGGATTAGAGGTAGTATTTTTGTCTAAACTTTGTGGGTCACCTGTAGGCTTTTGCGCCGCCCCATGTTGATTTGGTTGCATGGACGTTCATACAGGCAAATGGTAAAGAAAGAAGGAAAGAAACTTCTGGGCAAAAGAGAGGAAAATGGGATTGAAACTTGAGATTCGAGTTCTGTGCCAGTTTATACGTTTCCAATGCTGATTGGGATAAGGAGTAAAGAAAGAACAAAAAAGGCCAAAGTCATGAACGTTGTCTGCCACCGCCATTGAAGACAAGTATTGAAGAAAGAGTATACCCCACTACAGTACATACAAGTGGGCCTCCAATGCTATCAGTAATTTCATGGCAGAAGGTTCTTGATATTCTTAATATTAATTTCATTTTGGGAATGATGTTTTGAAGAATTAATAATCTGATTTTGATTTAGTGCGAAAATAAAACAATGTCATTGTCAGATAATAGAATGAATGAAAATGACAAAAGAGAGAGAATAGCGTTGTCCAGTGCTGGCTTGCTATAATGGAGAGAAGGGGTGGGGACGAAGGAATGCATCTTTTGCGGTTACAGTATGGGATTAATTTATTTTCCGTCAAACACGTTATTAGCTGCTCTCTTTCTTAACCCCAATTAGCTTCTAACCTATCCTATTACTAATGCGGCTCTTTAGCTTCTAACCTATCCTATTACTAATACTGCTCTTTCACTTTGCAAATACCCGTCATATATCTTCCTGCTCTTTGGCGTGAGAAGGTCGGCAGAGAATTGATTGAATCACCTCAAATAAGTAGTCGTTACCGTCTTCATGATTTTTTTAAAGGTTAGTCTCCAATGTAAAATAAAAATATCAGTAATTTTTTTTTTTAATAAATACAGGATCCAAGGTGTCTTTTTGTGTTTTTAAATTAGAAAATTAGGAATAGATTGAGCTTAAAATCTGGCATCCTCTTCTACTTGGCTGCCATGCTGCAGAAAAATGGAAGATACTTGTTAAACCAGATTTAATTTTTGGAGGACCTTTTCAAGACTACAAGGTATATATGGACTGCATTAAATGGAACGTTAGAAGGGAAGTGGGACATGAATTCACTGAAAATGTTCCATGGGCAACTTGTTTTGGCTATACTTGCTAGGACATTTGGGTCTCAAGATGCAAGAATGTTTTTGACCCTTCTGAGCAGACTGTTCATGGGAACCGTTTGAATGGTTTGATTAGTTTGTATAGAACCTGTATGGATCTGAACTCTCATTCCTTGAAATAGAACATGTTCAAGCAAATGGCTCCCACCTAAAAAAGAATTTGTTAAATTGGGAACATTCATGGATCTGTTTTGGCAACATGGAAACTGTGGATGTGGAGGTGTAATTATAAATCACAAAGCTAAATTGTAAGGAGGGTTTGCTGCAAACTCCAAAACTTAAACCCTGCTGTTACAAAAACTAACCCATCAGATGATAAAATTAGGCCAACTTTCGCACAGGATTAGCAATGATTTTCGTAACTTTGATCAACCCCCACCTTCTTGTTTAAAGGAGGTTCACTCTTTGTACTCATTAGACTTGAATCTCTTTTGGTTTTGATTCATATAGTTTAAGTATTTATTCAGAAAATGACATTCCTACTTAGCCACACCTCCAAACATAGTGTGCTTCTATGTCTCAAATCTCCTTGTCTTCTCATCCACAAAATGCTGATTGGGAAATGGGAATGTTCATCTAAATTTCATGGAACTTTTCATTTATTCCATGGCGGACCAATCATCTTCATCCACATCCTCACGCATTGCCCTTGTACTATATCTTTTGCATTCATTTATTTTCGGGTTCCCTTGTAATTTGAATGTACATGCTTTGTTTCGTCACCAATCACTGTGTAATGTTAGAAACTTCCAGTTAATTGTAGGATTGACAAGCTTGTCATTAGCACTTGAAACGGAGAAAAGGAAGACGACACGCACCTTGACCCCGTGTTTTACGTTGAGTTTGTCTGGAATTTCTCAGATCATCATCAAGTCCTTTTTAATTCTTCTGCTTAACAGAAAGGTATTTAAAAAGTTCAAATTTAATTGACAAAACAAAACTCTTTCCAATTCCGGGCATATCTGGTCCTGTGTGTCAAGGACCAAAGTGAGCATTGGCGTGCTACTACTGAATGTAATACATATTTATCTAATTTGATTAGATTAAAAAAATTATGTAAGTTAGTTAATTATAATAAATATGATATATTTTTTTTAAAACACCATAGTCATCTTCTTTAATATCTTCTATTCCTCTCCTATTTGATTATAGTTGAGAAGGTATCAAATACTAAGAGAGGTAATTTAGAAATAAATAAATAAAAAAAAATCTTACATGTAGAATCAAAATTAATTTAATAATTAAGTCATATATTAAGGATTGAAAGAGTATGATTTTTCATGTGGAAATAATAATAATTCCATATGAATCTTGACACAAGTATTTAATTTAATTTCTTTCTTCTTTTTCATCCTAGCTTCTTCTTCCAAAAGCAAAAGTGTAGTGTGGGAATAATAATAATACCATATGAATGTTGACGCAAGCATCTAATTTAATCCCCCCAAAAAAAAAAAGCTTCTTCTTCCAAAAGCAAAAGGGTAGTGTGGGTCCCTTTCACTTTCAACTTTATGCCCAGTTTCTAGGGATTGTGGAAACTGGGATTGCTGGAAAATTCCACAAAGGACAAGACAAGGACACCTCAGAGTCATCGTTAATCCTAAAACGCAAAGACCAGATGGAGGAGACCAAGATTATGTAATGTTCTAGTGTAGGCCTAAGCCGAAGCAGCCCACATTGCTCTTTCCTGCTCTGCCTCTTTAATCCCCGCTCAATATTTAACAAAATTATGAATTTATTTGCTTGTGTTTTCATCCCTCTAATTTCACCATAACGCTTTAAACTTCTCAACAACACCAAGTGGAAGCATAAGCCCACTGATTTTTAAACATGTTTCTCCTCAAAGTCCACTATATTTTGTTTTTAGTGCTTCACGCCCCTTGCTCAGAATGCACTCTGGTATATAATATTATTTCTATATGAATTTAGTTCATTATTAATTAGAAGAATCAATAACTAAAGTCTAAATAGCCAAGTGCACTATAATATACACTATAATTGTTTGAGCATGTATATCTTAAATAAGACGGCAAAGAGCTCTATTCTTTAAATTATTTTTATATTATGATTTATGAAGATGCATTTTCATTTAGAATAAGGTTTGCGTGTATATTGTTTAATACATAACATTATTAGACAGGTAATCAAGGAAATTAAAATATTAAAGAAAATTATCTTTGTATTTTTCGCAAGTAATAAATGAAATTTGAATAATTTATATCTTACTTTTCATAATTCTATATCTCTTGGCTGCCTCGAGGCGTAGAAATAATGTGATGCGCTATCCACAGCGGGAAGTCATTTATCCACAAAAAATATGTTTCTACAAAATATTCTTCCAACTTTGTATATATTAGAATTGTCAACTCCTTAACATGTATTTTTAAAGTACTTCTGTTTATATGACAGCCAAATTTCAAACTGAAACGCCAACAAATTAATTCAAAATTTCGATGTAAAAGATGTAACAGCGTGAATCTAACCGACACAAACTAAATAATTATTAAAAAGGAAGAACATCAACTTTATCATTTAAGAAAGGAAAATAAGATTATTATTAAAGTCGCAAATTTGGCTCTTGAAATTTGAAAGATCGATGTAGGCTATTGTACTAAATTCTATATAGTATTGTCATTTTAAATCAAAGTCAAATAACTAAACCCAGATTCGTAAATCTTGTTCGGCACAAATTCATAGACATTTCTACCGAAGGCTATGCCGTGTGAGACCCACACGATCCCATCCCCACTGGAAATGCACATACATATCTACATGGAATATAATTGGGAAAGAAAAAACAAACATATATTACTTGGAATAAGAATTATATTCATCTAGGATATTAAATTTGTGGAAGAGAAAAAAGGATATGGGATTTGAATGCCACGTATGCATTTCCTGCATTTTAATTAAAATGTATTGAAACTGATGGAAAACTCATAAAAATATTAACATTATGTAATTCCAATTTAAGAATATATTTTTAATATATTGTATACTTCTGTATTCTTAACATTTATCTTATTATTGAATATGCACACACTTCTTAAACATTTTTAGATTTTAATTTGGATTAGTTACAAATTAAATTCCGAATGTCATGCGTTGGCGATGATGGTAATCGTTCTTAATTAGTCTCTGCATAGTTAGAGTATGCCTAGTGCATTTGCATACAATCTGACGCTGCCTATATGCTATTCAAGGTGCTATGTATCTTCTTTAAACACTTACATTAACCAAATGGGGACCCTATGAGCTATCATATAAAGTTTGAGAATTCCCATGGAATATATATATTTATTAAATATTAAATAAATACTGACAATTAATTGATATTGATTTCTATCTGCACTTTTTGATGGTCCACTAATTAAACTTTTGTTTTTTGGTTGCCGGAATTGGTTCCTTTCACTTTTCCTTTATGCAATTTTATATAGTAACTTCGATTTCGTTACCCATTAATTTTTATCCGCAGATTCAGAATTTGTCTGTGATGTATAGTATGGGGGGGGGGGGGAACAAGGGAAGAATCATTAAACTAAAATCATGCACATTTGGATCATCTCATCTCAATCTACACAGAATCCAACCTAATCGGTTCCTAGTTTAATTGGAAGAACGATGAAGCAGAAATAGGATACAATTTCTGAGCTTCAGAATGGATGCAAATTCCTACCAACTCCATTCACATTACTAAATATTCCAACCAGTTCTTGCCTATGAGGGAAGAACGACTTCTTCTTCGTTTGTTCACCTTCCTTTGTTGTACCCTTTTTCATGTGATCCGACGCTTGCTGTTTGCCGCCGGCGCCGGTGCCGGCGCCTGAGGTCGGCTTTGACACCTCGTGAGCCACTTTGCTGCTCCTCTTGCTTTGACTCACAAATACCATCGCTTCTTTCCTTCCACTTCCCTGGCTTCCGCTTCTGAGAAGCAGGTCCCTCAGCCCCCATCTCTTTGACGACGATCCCGTCGATGTGTTGTTCTTGTTCGTCCTTCCCGCCGATGCTGATTTCGGACTCCACACGCAATAGGTCTCCGGAGGGACGCCTCCGACGTCACTTTTATCAGCATCGGAGGCGGTAGACGAGCCCGACAAAGTTTCTCGCTCCTCGAACATGAGCTTCCTCAGAGGAGGTCGACGATGGCGTGGAGCCGGCACCGTTTCATTTGGTGCGGGAATTGAAGAAACGAAAGCGTCTGCGACAACAACTTCTTTCGGTGGAGCAAAGTGAGGGTGGTTGAACAGCAAATTGGTGTCGAAGATTGGGTACATGGGCTTGATCTGGCCATTGCTGAAAATATCATCGGCAGATACAGTGGAGGAGTTGGGGTCAGCACAAACCAAAGCGAACTCAAACTCGTCGTCGTTGTTTGGGTGTCGGTGGTTGAGAGCATCATCGTGAGATTGGGTACTACAATCAACAGATTCCCAAGAGTCAAAAAGCAGGTCGTCGTCGGAGGCGGAAAGAGGGTCGCTCCGAAACTCATTCAGAACTCTGGCGGCTATCTCAGCGAGTGTCTCAGAAGAGTAGCCATTGAAACTGGGAGAAGAAGCCGATAATTGATAAGCCATGGCTTCCGTCACCTGAACCTGTATCATAGACAACTCCTTTCTTGTCGGCCTCAAAATGCTCCAACTTGGCGTCCTTCGCTTTGCACAGACACAGATATTGATTGAAGTGAAGCCACACGAAAGGAAAATGGGGAAGACGGGATATATAGGAGAGCGCGAGACGCTGATATATTTCTTGGTATTTTCTTTCCTCTTTCTTGTCCTGTGATGGGATTTTGCATATATAATACAGTTATAAATGTTGTTGAACTATACTGGCTTTGTACGTATTTACTTATTCTCATTAAAAAAATACGGACTAAATAAATAAAATATGTGTGATCCATTAGAATCATTTCTTTATTGTGTCCTCCATTCAATACAAAATTATTTTAAATCTTAATTATTTTAATTATTGAAATAATGTTATTTTAATAATTAAAATAAGTAATAGTGGTAATGCCGATTTTAAGTGTAAGAGTCAATGGTGGAAAATTCTAACAAAAGAAAGAAGTAGTTCCTCATGTAAATAATTAAAATGGGTATTTAGAAAACATATAGTTGAAATCCTGGGTGCATATGTAATTAAGAATAAAATAAAAATCAGACCGGGGTAATTAAACAGAGAATGAGATAGGATTGGGTGAGGGAGGCGCAGAGTTTGGTAAGTGTGACTGCTATGGAAAAGGTGAAGGTTGGGTGATGTGAAAGAGTGTGATTGGGTGGACACGTAGAAGGAATGGAATGGAAGTTTGAAGGGATTTCATTTGAGACGGCAGAGGAAAAGACAGAGAGAGCGCGACGCGTGTCAGGTGATCCGACCCCTTCCTTCCAGAAGGCTAAGGAACGAAGGGAGTGGTGGGATTGCTTGCAGCAGTGATGCAGATTGATGGAGGCGTAGAGGCGGCCCAATCCCCTCAATTGATTAATGAAGCTGGGCCCCGCCTCCCTCTTTACTTCTCCTTCCAATTACATATGAATTAAAGTCTAGGGTCACAGTCTCAATGACTGTGTTTCCAGGTTCCATGATGCGGGATTCATTTTGACTTTGTGATAGCTCCCTACAAATATGAAATATTTAAAGAATAAGGCACCCAGGAGTTAAGTTTATTTTTGTTGGCAAAAAAAAAACATATTCCTGTGAATGTGATGATAATATTGTAGAAAAAGATAGAAAAGAACAGTAATATTATTATTACTAGTAGGATTAAGAATGGAAGGAGAGGAAGAGGTGGGTGATGGGTTATTAATGGGCATAATTGTGGGTGTGCCTATATGATAGGGTTAGAGTAAGGGCCGGTGTTTACCAGCAATGGAACCAGCAGACACAGCCATTACTCCAAGTTATTTTTTCAACGCATCTTTTTACTCCTTATTCATGTCATGTTTGACTTATAAAATCACCATTGCCACTTTTAATAAGTTCTAAATAAATTACCACTTCATTACGTGCTCATTTCATCCTATTTATAGGTTATTTTGACTTTTTTTTATATAGACTAAGAAAAATTTTAAACTTCATTAACTCTTATTTAAAATTTAACAATTTTTAACTTTATTTTTATTTAATATATATACCTCATGTCAAAAAGTTAATACTATAATAAATAAATGATAAAATTATACGTCCATCTAAAAAATTTCTCTCATTATCTCATAAATAAGACTAACAAATGTCTTCTCTTTTTATCTTATAAATAGAACCAGAATAATGTGTGTATATATACTCTATTTGGTTTTATTATAAGTTTCAAATAACCTATTCACGAATAATAATAATTAGTTAAAATTAGTTAAAAGCAATAAATATGTTAGAAATATATTTTTGTTTTTAAATATACTCTTATAATAAATGAGAAAAAAGATGAAAGAGAATGTGTGTAGAAATGTGATAAGAAAAAATATGACAACTGATAGAGAATAAATAGTTAAAGGTAAAGTTAAAAAAATGTATTAAATATTAAAATAAAGTCAAATTGAAGCTCATAAAACTGAATCACATTTTTCTTTAAATTTGAAGCTTATATATTGAACCAGAGGGAGTATTATATATATAAGTCACTTGGAGAAAAAAAAAAGTGTTCTTAAATATAAGTGACTTACAGGGCAATTAGTGAGTTTTTTCCTTCTAATTTTACCTCTGTTGAATTAATAAATGCGGAAAGCGATAAAATAAATAGGTAACGGTAAGAATCAACATCGTAAAATACATACTCACCCAAGTACGTAACGCGTAGGCTGGTCAAAAAAAGCACGTAACGCGTAGAGATAGATTAGTTTTTTTTTGGGGGGGGGATTAATTGGGAAAAAATTATCTAGGAACAATTATCATAAATCTTAAATAAATCTAATATTATAATTATTTTTAATCATTTAAATACTGAGCCAAAGGTAAAATTTCATTTTTATCTCTGTAAAATATCTATTTGAATAGACGTTAGGGTAAGAAAAGAGCAAGACGCTTTTAACTTTCAAAGATGAGTGAGATGGACAGAAAATAAATCAAACAGTAGGAGTTATATTGAGGCACAACACACATGTATGCATATAATTAGATTTTTTTTCAATTCTAATTATAGGGTAAGGTGTTATTTCAAGATCTTTTTCCAGTTCTAAATGTAAGACTCATTTTGTAGTGTAAAAATTTACATTATAAAATTAGTCTTGTATTTAGGATTGGAGGAGTATTTAGTATTTTTTATTCAATTTTGTCATTCACTAAAAAAATAATGAAAAATATAAGCACCGCTCCCCCCACTTTCACGCATAAGCAAACTTTAACCAAGTTTAATAAATAGTAGTCAAGGGGAGGCAATTTTAAAAATATGTCTTAAATGCATCTCATATTGTTGCTTTTGTTTATTAAAAAAAAACCATGTTCAAGATTTGCTTACATTTAAGAGGAAAAAAAAAACTCGGATGGAGTATATCACTATATCTTAGTTCAATGTTTTTAACTAAATAAGAAATATTTGGTCCTATAGAAATTCTGGACCAGAAGCAGTATAGCACTACAGTACTTTTATGAACACAACTTATTATTTATTTCTTAACAAAAATAGAGCTCTATAATGCTTTGAGATCGTTCTCTTTCTTCATCTCAAGAACACACTCACCACGGGTTTACGTATTTTGCTTTACGTCATTTAACTTAAAACGCTAAAATAAGATTGAGTCAATAATAAAACTTTAAAAACAAAAACAACGGACGTGTATATGATTAACTTGTGATACACGTAGCTTGAGCCCTGAGTATAATATAATATTCAATTGGGTAAATTTACAAAACACAAAAATAATAATATAAGTAGGTTTTGGGGGAAAGGGAACTTGAGGGAATGAACACTTCAATCAATGCATATACTGAGAACATTCTTTGTGGTCAAATAATAAAAGTATTTTTTTTAAAAAAAAATCTTTTTACATATTTATTGCTTTTAATAAATTTTAATTAATATTTTTACGTATGTAATTCGGTTATTTGTGTCATATATATATATATATGCATATCATATCCTTGTAAGAACATTGTCACGTCCTGATTAAACCAACTAATTAAATATAGTAAAAAATAATAATAACGTGTGTGTGGAATAAAAAAAGAAAGGGGGGGGGGGGGGAGCTGAATTGGCAATAAGTGAAAATAAAGAAGTTACTTAGGGGAGGGAGGGCGCCGCTTTCGTATGATAAGCCCTCAAAATGATGGAATGGATGCATTCAGATCAAATATGAAATGATCTCTCTAATCTCCATCAAACCATGAGATGTAAGCTTGGGGATTGGCCATTGCTCATTTAATTATTGTTGAATTTGTGGCTTCATCATTTTGATTCGGCTTGGCCGTTAAGCAATCGTCAACGTCCATCCTCCACCTTTTCCCCATCATAGCGCCACCTCTATCCCATCCCATTCATTCCCTCTCTTATTTATATTCCCCCACATTCTATTACTTAGGCTTCAAGTTGGCTTCTCCTCTCCAACGCCTCCCTCATTATTATTTTCTTCATATTTTACTATCATTGGCATTCCCATAATTTGGTAATTCCTTGCTCATCATTGCGTTTTCGTTGGTATTTGCGGGCTAAACTTGAGAAGCCCATGCGTTATTGGGCTTTATGTAACTCAGCCCAATAGCTGCAAACTCATAGTCATATCCAACCAACCATTGCGCGTATCTACTCAAGAGGGAAAAAAACCAGTACGCGTACAGAATGAAGGGATGGCATAAATTCGCTGACCAAGAACGAAAGCAACAGGATCAACATGTACAGTTGTGAACCATTCATTAAAGGCGTCGCTGTGCCAAACGTAGCCCTCAACTTGTTATCATTTAATAAAAAGAAAAGAAGAAAGCCGATAGACCCCAACTTACAAATGCTGTGTCATGCTGATACAGAAAGGAGAAAGGGCAATTCCTTCACGCCACCCAAATGCCAACTGCTCTGCTCCTAAGCTTAGGTATCACATTATTATTAGCAGTTTTTCATTAAAACTTCACCACCCTCCTATCCTATTGACTTCCTCTAAAGCCTAAACCGCCATATTGAAGGATCTTCTTCTTCTACCTACTGCCCCATTCTTTGACCTCCTTTGCTCCTGCAGGCTCTCCCCCGTTTTCTGCACAACAAAAGCCACGCGTTACTCTCATTTCACTCATATTTTATAAATATCAACTATTGACGCGCGTGACCCACAACGTTGGGAGCTCAAACTTGCTGCTTAAGGCAACTGTTTGCAACACACCATGCCTAAAATATCTAACTCCACCGACAAATGAACACATTTCGCCAAGGTCAGCGCAAATCCTATTGTTCTTAATTATACTTCGTACTCTTCATTAAGAAATATGTAAGATCAAAAGTGATAACCAAAATCATCTCACCGGTGTACCTTTTCTCTGAATGACTTGATGACTCCAATCAACAACTTGTCCCCTGCAACTTGTCTCACTTTTTGGATCAGATCGTGTCGTGAAATCTTGTTCGCCTGCAAAGCAGAGGAAGCTCGACCAATGAGGCTAGGAGCAAGTGAATGCCGTATTTTTAACTAAAGCAAAGCAAATGAATGCCTTGAATCCCATAGTTAATTCAGAACCACTTACTCTGTGATCTTTGTGGTGCTTTGATATCAAGGCAATATCAGCTGGAGGCAAAAACTTGGAAAGCACAGAAATTAGAGTTGGAAATGGCATCCATGGGGAAGACGGTCTTCTCGCGGGCTCCTCAGTCTTCACAGACCCTAAATATCGAGCATACAAACAAATTTATAAATACATCCATCTTCTTAAACACAAATAGTTCCCAAATACCACTCCGCCGACACGGATTTTCACTAACCTTGAGGAATTCTGAAACTTATAACATATTCCGGCAACACATGGGTGTTCATCCGACTACACCAGATCACGTACTTGGTAGGAGCCGAAAGATTGTCCACCCCGGAATCATACTCCTCAGCACTGGGATGGCATTGCTCAGAACCAGGATGCACAAGCTCTGTTCTCCCCAGAATTACACGACACAGTAACAAGTGACGTAGACCGTCTTTGTCAACAGCGCAGCTCTTCACACTACCCAGCAAACGCAAAATAACAAAAGATAGTATTTTAGCCTAAACACCCACACAACCAACAACGGTAATGAATGTTAAAAGAAATAATGAAAGAGGACAAGAAATTGCGTACCTGTCGAGAGGAGAATCATCTGGAGAAAGATAGAGTCCACAACCATAAAGCTTATTATTATTCTGTGATTTCCCACAATGACCAAAGCCGTGTGAAATGATCTCTCCCACCTCTTGCTTACCAGAAGTTCCATACCAAGCATACTTCAAATTGGCATTACCACTACGCCTCTTCTGCATTGCTTGCAGGTAAAGCCGAAACGATTGGACCCTGGCTTGTGACATAACGCTGGAACAAGCATTCCTATGAATAGCGACGACTTGGGTCTGTGCCCCAGGCAACCCCAAACTGAGAATGAACCTTCTCTGAATAAGGTCATGAACCCTGTCACCTTCTACGAGTCGTACAAACCCTCCATCGAACAAACTACGCTGCACGCAGGTACCTCCGGAAACACCACTTTCGCAATCGGAGACAGTGGAGTCTTCAATGCTTGCAGGCTCCCATACACCCGACTTCTTAATATTCATATCATTTGACCAATCTCCAGAATCTTGCTCACTTGCAGTGTCGTCGAATTTGAGCTTCTGTACAGACCCGTCGTGAGGAAAGATTGCTTGTTCCATGATAACAATATAACCAGAAGGAGGAGGAAAAAGATTCGACCGTATAGATGAAGCTACCTAGACTACGGAGTTAAGATACAACGATCAGATCAAAACCAAAATAGGAAGTATGTACAGAATAAACAATTGGAAGAATCATGAAGCCCATTAGAGATCCACGAACTGCTCGGAATAAAAGAATGCGAGAACTACAATCCCCCGCACGCCAAGAAATCAAAGAACTATAAGATATTCCGAAACTCAACAGGTTGAGACCTTAGACGGGGCAAAAAAGAATCGAACAGTGCAGTCCATAGTCAAAGAATCTTCAGCTGGCACTAGGACTTGCCCCCAAACAGTATTATAACCTACAAGAGGCGGTTACCCAGAACCCAGAATTAGAAACACAGAGAAGAGATCAAGATATGTTCTAGAACAACTGTAGTGTAATGAAAAAGATTACACTAAAAGGAAAATCGAGGGCCTAGTGGATAATTAGTTTCTGTGTATTCAATGACCTATCAGCTGGGACCGCCAAAAAGGGGGGGGGTGGTGTTGGAATTGCAATGGGCGGTGAAGAAGGTGCTTGCAGGCGCTCGTAGTTTTGAGGCCAGCGGATTCACAAGGTGGACTGGAGAGAGAATGGCGGTCCGCAGAGAGGAGAGATGAAGGCCGCAATTTCAAAAACGGGGAATTCAGAATTCTCAAAATACATGCTCGCAATTCTATATAAATACATTTGTCTGTCTAATCTTAAATTACTTAATTGACACGGTATCCCCATACGTGGTCGGTGACAACAAGCCATGCCTTTGAGGATAGAATTGGAAATTAAAATATTAAACACTGGTTGTATAAAATTTGGAAACCCTTTGATATTTTTTTTGGTGTATGTTTGCATCCCAAGAAAGTTTGAGTCAGCTGACTCTCCTTATTTTGATGACACTGAATCTGGCGGTGATTTGAGGCCCCCAACTTGAATTGATTTTTATTAAATAAATAACAAGCCCAAAATTATGATAACTTATGATATAGTATTTTCAATTATTTCTATTGAATAAATTAACATTTTCAATACTAATAATGCAGCTTCATTATTTTTTATGATAATATAGTTAAATATATTTATCTTGCGAAACATGTAAAAATAATTTTTAAAATAAAAATAAAACATAAGGATATTAGGGTATTTTTTTAAAAAAAGTCACTAAGTAAAGATTAACTGAATTTTAAGGATATTGACATGAATATTTATCCTTTTAATTACATTGTAAGTTTATTGTACTTTTTAATTTGTTAAATTTCTTTATTTTCCACAATTATTTGAAATTGATAGTGTCAGGGGAAAAAGTTTTTTTTATTTTATGAAACAACGAATAAACCAACATAAAATAATCAAAACACAAAAGTGAAAAAAATGAAGAAATATTTTCCGGAAAAGTATATAAAACTTAACATGAAAGTATAGGACTAAAAACTAGAATCCAACAAAGCTACAAGGCATAAATGAGACTTAAAACAAAAAAGATAAGGAATCACAAAAGATTCTTCTGAAGAAAAGAAAAGATTGGCATGAGTTGATGTGATATTAATAGTAATTATTAATGAGAAATCATGAAGATGGAGCACAGTAAATGGTCCATATATTTTTTGTTTCCAACTTTGACACGATGGTATATATTTTTATTTTTTTATTTCCAAAAAGTGAGGCTTTCATGTGGTAGAAGAAAGCCAAGAATGATACGATGCTTATGGACGAAGAGAAGAGGTCAAATTGCGATGCTGGCCTAATTACTTGATCCTCGGGTTTCCTCAATTCAAAAAGCTCTTTTCTTGTTCCTCGCACTCCATCTCGGACGCTCCCAAGAATTCCAGACTCGAACATTCCCTCCATATTCACTCTTCTCCTGCAGAATTAGCAGGCACTGGTAAACTTTTTCAACATATATCACTGACAGAAGGGTTTTAGCTGCTCAAACATAGAATTTGAGAGATCTACAGTAATTAAATCTCACACAATTAAACAGCCATATCAAAAAGATAACTAAACATATCTGATCTCATCACAGGTGTTTTGAAGATGACGATCGTGTCACTGCTCCGTCCAATATTTAGAGCTATTGCATGGATCAAGGAAGCATTATTTGGGAAGTAACGATTGGATGCAAAATTTAATGACCAAGAATGATATTAAAAGGAGCACAAGATCCGATAAAACTTCCTCGTTATTTTGCCAAGAGACAAAGAAAGAAGGCATTGAAACTTGAGAGGTCAAGACTCAAGATGACCTTCTTCTTAGTCAAAACACTGAAGGAGAAGTCGACTAACAGGGAGCAAACCTGTAAGAGGATTTATGTTAACAAGGCACACGCTCACGGATTTTATGTTGTGCGTTTTAAAGTTCTGAAAATGAAATGAGTTGGCTAAATTTTCTCGACCTTGTGAGTCATCCAGCTAAAATGAAATGAGTTTTTTTTTTTTTTTTTTACTAAAGCATAGGTATTCTTCTATTGGAGGCAATCATATTCGAGACACTGTCAGGTACTAAATGTGGGCACCTCTTTTAGTGGGGATTCAAATTTTGATTCATCGCGTTGTTGTGAGAGATTAGTCCCAACCCCATTGGTAATGAAATAAGTTTATCCAGGAGGAATTTGCTCCCAAAATACTTGTTCACATGCCCAACATATGATGGGCTCGGCCACAATAGTCCAACAAATGGGCTTTCATTCACACATAATAGCCCAAAAAATGTATATGATGGGCTCGGCCACAATAGTCCAACAAATGGGGAGATTTGGGCTAAGCTGTTCATGATCATATGGGCTCCACGATAATAGCCCAAAAAATGTATTACCCAGTACTAATCATTCCAAACACAAAAATGAGAGAAGAGGGAAGAAATAAGTGCCTTGTTGAATTGTGTTTCCGACCCAATTCAAGCCATCATGTTTGCGTTGCCCTTGATTTCGGCCTAAATAAAAGAAGTTGAGCCCTGTGACCCTTGCAACTAAAACTTTGGGGGCCAGTTAATTTGACATGAATGAAAATGAAATTGTTTTCCGAGATTTTCATAATATTTTTCATTCCTTCCAAATTTTGACATGATTAGTCTTTTTGATTCACAATAGTTATCCGTCCGATCCATTTCATCCCTATAGTATCAAGCAGAGAGGATGATGCTAAACCCAAGCAACAAATTTGTCTGCAATAAAAAGTGATCTCCGTGGAGCCAACCCAAAGTTGACTAATTTAAGTAGATTAAAAAAATTAGTTAAATTAGTTATCTGTAATAACTAGGTATAGTTTTTTTTTTTTTTTATATCCTTACTAATCAAGTGTATTGGCTAAAACTACCATCTATAAAAACTATTTTAAAAAAATAGATGAATATAGGAGATAAAATAAATTAAGGTTTTATATCTGAGATCAAATTAAAAATTTAATAAACTTTTATGTGGTCATGTTTAGCTTTAAAATACTCTCTCTCGGTCAGCAAAGTACAGATATGGGAGACAAAAATCAAAGTCAAGGAAGAGACTAAGTAATCAAATTACTAAATTAACCCCTGCCTCTCTTCAACTTTAATAGTGAGCACTCCAATCCTTGCATACAATTTATTATTGAGTTAATCTTGATCTTAAATATAAAACTTATTTTTTTATATGTATTAATTTTTTTTAAATTACTCCTATCGATATTTTATTAATCATAATAAATAGCAAAGGAGGGTGATATTAAAAAAGATGATTAATGTTTTACAAAAAGATGTCATATTTTTTATAATTAATTAACTTACCAATTTTTTTAATATAATCAAATTAATTAAATAAGTCTTACATTAAGAAGCTAAGAGTATTTTATTATAGTTGATATGGAAAAACTGTTACTTTGCCGGTTAGGCTTTATTTTTTATTTTGAAATCAAATTAAACTTTTTTTAAATATTTTTCAAATAAAATTAATAACAAGCTATATAAAAAATATAAAATATATAATAAAATTCACTATTCACGATCAAACAAATATTAAATAGTGTGAATCAAAAACAGATTTTTTTTATTAAAACGGAGAAAATATTACACATAACTTTGCTGAAATTTATTAAAATTACATATACATTTTACTTTTAAAATACACGCAAACCATCTCCCAAAAAAGTCTGTATAATTTATTTTCCATGGCTGTGTCATTTTAGACAAGTTTAAAATAGGAATGTATGATTCTTTCAAGAGAAACATATAAGGTTAAAAACTTGCAATAAAATCAACACATATCTGGCTAGGTCTCTTAAGCATACTGTTAGACACTCAATCTTTAACCATGTGAATAAAAAAGACTCTGTTTAGAGAAGCAAAATTCACTCATGTAATCTTCACACTTTGAAATGCATTAGTCCTCGGCTACTAGTTGGATTCTTATTAGTTATTACACGCACAAACACACGGAAAAAAAAAAAAAAACATTTAACTCGAATTGGACGGAATTTAAGGACAGCTAGTAAAACTCCCATAAAAGAAGGAAAAAAAAAAAACTAAAACTAAAGTTGAGATAATTAAAAGGTCCCATGATGGGCGATTAGTTGCCCCGTTTTTCATCTCCAAAAAAAAAAAAAAAAAAAAATAAATCTCAATTTGACCATAAAACACCCTACAGGAAACTGTGGGCACATAGATAGGTTCAGCGGCGGCCTAGTTTAGTAGTAGTTTATATATTTTCGGCGAGCGCCGCAGTCACCGGTGGCTTTGTCGGGCATGCGTCTTTAACTACTCTCAAATCTGATTAATGCCATCTATCATCTACCTCTTCCTTTAATCTATTCCCCTTTTTTCTGCCTAAACCGATATCTGATCTTGATTATTAAGTTAAATTAAGTCATTATCAAATTTAAACTAAAATAGCTCTTCTGAAGATTTTCTTTGTATTCAGGGGAAATCAAACGCGACCGTTATATTTAAGCCGCCATGCTCACCTCTCTATTTTTTTCACTGCCCCCTCTCCCATCATATATACAGTAACTCTATACTTTAATATAAAACTTAGTTTGTAGTTCAATTTTAAACCGCAAATCTTATATTGAGGACCAGGTATACTATGTTTTAGAAATCATAATGTCACTTATAATGTAGACTCAATAAAATCAGGTTCACGCACCAAATCCAATTCATGTACCTACTTTCTACTTTCTCATATACATCTCTGATCTTTCACATGCACTATTCCAATATTCCATATGTGCTTATGTATTCTTATCCCTATTTTTTTCTCTAGTTTCCTTGCGGCATCGTCCATCACATGGGAGGGCGTTATCATAGGGATCCTAACTTCTAAAACGATGTAATCGTTCTTCAGTTTTTAAGTACTATCGGGTATAAATATAATACCTCTTCCAATAAGAATTTAAATTTCGGTCCGTCCGTCACATTATGAGTAATTAATCTATTATACTAAATCTAACCCCGTTTTTGGTTTCTTTGATTTTTGTTTCTTTATCTTTTGTTTCCTAAGATGGAACGTGGGCCGGCCAATGCTTCGAACAAACCCGCACCCCGATAAGTGTTGGTTAATATCCAATCCGAGCTCACCATAACCTGCAGGTTGGAGGATTGAGCTGGCAGACTCAATCCACGTCACCGGTTCAACTCAAAATTATTGCATAAATACACACACATAAATCTAGAGGCGAAAAACTACTATTATACAAATAGGATAGTGCGCTCGCGTACGCATAAGACCCTAAGGGACGAACAAGGGTAACTGAGATCATTGAGTATTTTGGGTCTTACACAAAATCAAATAGCACTAATGAAAATGCATTGTTAATTGTTCTTCCAAAAATACTTTTTCTGGGATGAAAATGCATCATAACTCAAAATCTGATTGGGCGCTAAAAGATTTCATAATTTTTAAGATAGCAAAAAGAAGACGTCTACAACATTTTCCCGCTTCAGAATCCCTCGTGCTACGTATTTTGCTTTTTCCCAGCTTTGATCGACCGGTTTTGATAAAAGAAAGAAACAACAAAAGCAGAAAACAAAGAAGCTCGATTGCAGAAAGTAACAGAGATCCTTAGCTTCAGAATGAAGTTTGGTCGTATAGCAGTTTTCAAATCTCCATCAAGATGGTGCTGGTGATGGGCACTTTAATTTAATTGATCGTCTTTCTTATAATCTATCAAACAATTGATCACACCGAATCCTATGCATGCATGACAATAAACAACATTTTTAATCCTGTTCAGAAAAAGAATTATATATTTCTTTTCCAGGAGAATTAAAGGTCTAAAATATACTTATACAATCATTAGCTAGCACTGATTTTATTCCTCTGTATCTCAACACATGATTACATTAACCGATATTCACGTACGTGAAGAACGAATCAGTGGTTACTTAGCTAGCTCCCATCTAACTGTTTGATCTTTACGTGAAAGAATCAGCCTTACTAACGCAACAAGAACAAGCAAAGACCAAGATGGAAGACAAGAACTCTAGAAATACACAAATTGAAATGATATAGACCTCACTTAATGATTGAAACAATGATTCATCTCAATCTTCACATCATTCAAACTAAATAATACACTCATTACAAGTTAAAGCATGATCAATTCAAAGCTATACGCAGTACGGTGGGGTTAACGTGGGCAACCAATATTCATTCAACTTTAATATATTCTCCTGACATTCTTTGTATGCATGCTTTAATCAGTCAGCAATTATTATTAAGCAAACTCGTAATCACTGGTGTTCATTAAAGCTCATGGATATCTTTAATGATTAGTTAATTAATTAATTAATTAATTAATTGTGGATGATGGGTCTCTAAAAATGTATGTGCTTTCAGAGGAGCTATGTAGTGTGATGGTCACGCCAAGTATCTCTCTGCCACATAAATGTTCTTCCTTCTGAGTGGATATAAAGCACCCTCTCCCTCTCGTTGCGCTTTAAGGTGTCACTCTTCTGATGAAAGCTTTTCTGATTATTCCCTCTCTCATCACTTTGGGAATATGATGTAGCTAGGTTCCAAAGTTTGAATTTCTTCAACAAAGCTGTCTTTAAGTTTCAACTGCTTGTGCCTCCAGCTTCCACGAAACTTCATTTATAGTTCTTTTCTTAAATAATATTTGACACACACACACATATATATGTAAGACATAGATTTTTTTTCTTTTTAATAATGATGATGAAAATGTAAATAATTGTATCCGAGTTCAATATATTTTTCACACGCACTTTCTTCTCGAAAGGTCGAGAGAGGTCAGGAGTTATGGCTAGCTAGGGTATGCATTGGATTATTCTAAGGAAAGAAGAAATAAGACACGTCATCTCAAATCGATGCATGCACGAAGGAATCCCATGAAGAATGTTGCAGGATGGGAAATGACCATGAGGACCTGGATGTGGATCACTGGCACCATCAAAATTGGGTTTTACAATTTCGATCCGTCTTATAATTTAGCAGCATAAAATTTTTCTTCGTTTATAATTTTGATTGTTAGTGTTGGTCTCTCTGATTAAACATAATGGATCCAAATGAATATTAATTGAATTGAAACAATAAATCAATTTATTTCAATTTTAAATTCAATAAACAACCGAAAAAGGAGGCACGTGAGGGGCGTGTGAGAGAATAAATCCCTTGCTTGTGGAAGGAGGGCGGGTGGGCCCCTTAAGAAGGATGCTTTGGGGTATGATTTCTTTTATCGAGGAACCCAAATATTCTCTCAACTTCTCTCTCACAGTCTCACTCCACGACAAAACAAACATGGTGACATATGTTGGCGCCATGCCTTATCTCCCATCCGACGCTCCTCATTCTTCCATCGCTGCCCATCCCCCAAATCTCACCGTCGCTTTCGTCAATGTCCCTCAAATCCAGTGGGCTCACTGCGCGATACACAAAAACATGTGGGTCCCACCATTCATGTCACCGACACGACACCTTTCTCCGCCTTCTTATTCACGGCCCCTCCCCCATCTATCACACACACTCACAGCCCGCTTCTTATCTCACACTCTTAATCCTTCGCTATCATTGGCATTGCGTTACCGTGGCGTTCGACACAGAAGGGTTCGGTGAAAGCGGATATATCATCTCTCATCTCAGATCAGGTGGGTCGTTCTTCAATTATTGCCAATGGATTTTTCTCCTTTGCACGAGCACGTCTGCATGGAATCTTCTGATCATTGGCTTCAGGTACGCACGTAATGCCTACATTTGATCGATGGATATGTCAATTGTATTTGCTTCTGATAATCATTTTGCGTAATTTAGATCATCATTATGGAGGACTTGAGAATATATTAATGGAGAGGGTGGGTACATGTTTCAGGGCGCAGTTCAAGAGGAATCTGCAGGAGGATTGGATTCTTCATCTTCTTCTCCACCATTACTGGAGAGGAGGGTGAGGCCAGCCCCAGCGGACCAAGCGTTGAAGTGTCCGAGGTGTGAGTCAACAAACACCAAGTTCTGCTACTACAACAACTATAGTCTCTCTCAGCCAAGGTACTTCTGCAAAACTTGCAGAAGGTACTGGACCAAAGGAGGCACATTGAGAAACATCCCAGTAGGCGGAGGTTGCAGAAAGAACAAGAAAGTCTCATCCAAGAAATTCAACGACACTGTTCATACACAGTCAGAACCCAAAGATCTTCAACTCACAGCCTCTAATTTCCCATCAGATCATGCCATGCATTTTCCCCACTCTGTGGGACTAATGATGGAGAATTCCAGGCTCATGGAAACTAACTTTGGAGGGATAAATAATGTTATGGGAAATATTGGCGATACTGGGATTGCAGATCAGATAAATTATGGCCGCAATGGGTTATTGGCGCAGAATTTCCAGGGTTTTGGAGGAAATATGTGTTACTTTGATGGCTATAACAGTAATGGTGGGGCTTATAGCACATTGGACTCTTTTTACCATGGCAGTGAAGATCAAAATGTTGGTGGAATTATTCCTGATGTGAAGCCAAATCCTAAGTTATTGTCTCTCGAATGGCAAGACCAAGGTTGTTCTGATGCTGGGAAAGAACCTTTTGGTTATATCAACACCACTTTGGGATCATGGACTGGCATGATCAATGGTTATGGACCCTCCACAACACACCCTTTGATCTAAACTACTCTTGCTGCTGCATATTCAATTTACTGCTCACCGGGTTGATTAATAAAAGCATAACGAGTAAATATCATTTTGATAGTTCTGTATGTCTCACACTGTTATGTTTTTATTAAGAGATCAGACAGTGGACACTTGAAAATCATGCATGTATGCTCAGATTATGATCAATGGCTCAGGTGTTCATCTGTCTCTGGGGTTGGTTAATTTGGTCCATGACATAATCAATCACTTTATCCATATATATTATGCACAAGCCACTTGTGGAGGAAGTTAGCAGTTTTTCTTCTTCTATTAAGGTGGTCTCTTTGGGTTTCTTTTGACCTCACACGAATATTTAAATAGTGTGAACGAGAGGCTACAGGGTCCAACATGGGGGGCTGCCTTGGTGTGCGTTACTTTTGGTTTATATATTCCTGTCTGCTGTGTGTAACACATTATTTGAAAGTTTTAGGATTCTGTTGTAATATCGAGGAAGATATTGTTAGTTATCTTTTCGATGAAAATGCACTAGCTATCTGCTGCCATCAATTTCTTTCAAAAGCTCTTATCTTAATCTTTACGGGATTAACATGCTGTCTCTGACCATAGCCACGGGCACACAAAGAAACAAACACAACGCAAAGCTGAAAGGAACATTATGGCCCACTTGTAATTGGCACTCATGTTGCTGCGCAAACTAAGTAAATATATCGTGTACAAGTAGGAAATAATTAGCAAGAGAAATAGTTAAGTACTAAGCTCAGAACAGAGAGCAGCAGAATTAGAAGATCATATATTATTATATATCGAGAAGATACTGTTTATAAATATGCAGCGCGAAAGTTTCTGGGGAAATTAGAAGAAAAATAACTACTATCTTAGGCTCTTAATATAAAAGTTGGTTGAGGATTGAATTTGATACTAAATCAAAAGACTTCAATACATTTGGTCTCCTCTTTGTTTTTTGTTAAAATATTGATTATAAGAGTTTTACAAAGAAATAATTTTAATGCTAATAATTAAAGAGGATGGTTTAAAGAGATCAGCATGTATTTGTAATAGACAATCAACTTAACTAATTTTCTTAATATTTCCAAATTAATTATTTAGCTTTTATCTTAAAAAAGTTTATCATGAGTCCAAATCAAATATATACTCTCTTTAATATAAAACTTATTTTATAGTATAAATTATACTACACTAAGGATTAGAGGAGTATCTTTATTTTTCAGGAACAACTACACCATGTTCATTGATATTTGGCGACTGGCTGCAGCAGCCAACAACAGCCAAAAGGGTGATGGCTAAAAACGAAAAAAAGAAAAAAAGGAAAAAAACCACCAACGACAAACAGCAAAAGGGGCATTCCAACTGGGCGTTCCAAGAATCGAACTTGAGACCTTTCGCACCTGATTAAAGTCTATATACTAAAATTTAGCATACAGTTCCAACTAATTAAACGTTTCTCTCACACAAGTAATTAAAGGTTTAATCTAAAACTACATCATAACTTTGCTGGTGAAAAAAACTATATTATAACTTTATTAAAACAATTTTTTTTCCCAAAAATCAGAGATTTATCATCCTTGTTGTTATGTACATGTCATTATCGGAATGCCGCATCAAAGTTCAACTTTACACCTCTGCTTTTATATGTTTTATGGTGGAACACCATTTTGAATAACCAGCCCAGCAACTATTATTAAGAAAACTCACACCAACACAAGTAATATACGCTCAACATAACTCAATTTTTTTAAAACAATTTCATCAATGATTACTTATTCTAACAAAGTCCCATCCGAAGATACCGGAGCTCAATTAGCAGGCTCATATTTGCAAATGCAGTCGTATATTTTCCCTTTAACCAACTTTTCAGCCAACCTCTGGTTTTTCACCATCGCAAGCTGCCCACAGAGAAAGTGAAAGTGTGTCAAATCGAGCATCTGACTAATAAATAGCAATAAAGCCAGCCCACCTTACCTTCAAGGCATCACACTTAAATCGAGCATTGAGGTTGGTATGAAGAGCTCTTCCCATCCCTTCCAAAATTATCTGCATAGCGCAAAAAGCTTGATTAGGATATGATTTCTTGGTTTCCTCAGACCTTTTCAAATAGACAGAACAAGCCTCTCACCAAATCAGCATCTTTAGCAGCAGCAGCCAACTCAGAGCTGACCTGTCTGAAGTCTATACAAGGACTCCCACACCCATTCTCAACAACCATCAAGGGAACTGAAGTTAAACTTCCTTTTGAGCTGTTTGAAGGGCTAATCATTGCATCCACAAGTAAACCTCCGGCTTCAGCAGCTCGCCTAAGAATGTCACAATGCTGTGGGCTGGAAGAATTAGTACTGCAGTTTTAACTAATGAATAACACAGTGGATGCAATAATTATAGTAAAGTTAACAAATGGACAGGAAGAATAAGGAGAACAATATTGGGATCTTCCAACAATACATTTCACCAGATACAAAAATGAACTTGAATTTTATCGGGTTGCTTTATACATCACAGAAATCAGAAACTGAAGCTTATGAAGACAGACCTTGGCAGCCTCGGCTACAATGTCAGGAAGTTCTATTGCAGTTACATCATTTAATGCAGGAAGGGAATTTGCCACCAGAACCACCTGCAAATATACGCCCATTCAAATCTTCAAGTATATCATAGAATTCAGAAGCAAAGAACCAAGTGGCTGAGAAGCAGCTGAACGGATAGACAGAAAAATTTATTATTATTTTCCACTTAATCATCAATAGGAATTGCCAGCCCTCTGCATTGTGTGAAGATAATTAAACTTCTACAAAGACGTAGAAATTAAGGATACACAAAACAGCATTCTCATGTCTTCTAAAAAGACATGGAAAGCAAGAATACTGTTCCTAGACTTTAGATACACTGTTAATTAATGTGACCTTAGAAATAGTGGTCTACAGTAATCAATCGCCCTAAGTATATTTCATTTACGTATATAGATCACAGTGGAGAAACAGAAGATTCATACAAAGAAAGTTATAAAAAAATGTCAAAGATTGGGATCAATCCCATCAGTCGCGGGATTGAATTATGTCTTTGATGTTAATTGTTTCCCGTTTCAACCTCCTAACTAGATTAGCGTTTTATTTCCTTTTCTATGTTCTCTTAATGTCTGGTGTGATTCTCTGTATCATAGAATGGACATTAATAGAGTGGGAATCATTTCTCTATCTCCTCAAATTTCAAAAAATAAAGAAGGGTTAATTAATATATGTCTACTGTTTATTAAAAATACAACTAGAATTCTAGTACCCATTTATTCAATCAAATATCACTTAGCCAGGATCACTAAAAGGAGAATTATCAAAATAAATAGCATAAAATATTAGTGAGGAAGAGAAAGAACCCACTTCAGTTCCATGCCGAAGGAGCTCCCGAGCGAGGGGAAGCATCCCGAGAACAACATCAGCACCTGAATTATCCACAAACAGCAAAGCTCTTCTGTGTGGGGTAGGTCTTTTGTCCGCAGTCCCTAGCATTCTCTCTTTGAAGTCATCAAAATTATCCACCTAGATACAAAGATTGGTTTAGTATCCTATCATCAACTATCAACTACTCCTCCGGTTCTAAATATAAGACCCATTTTGTAGTGAATGGGTCTTATATTTAGGACCCAGAGGAATATTATCAGTAAATTCAAGAAACCAAGTAACCTAATCAACCGCAATTTAAATCCACACACCCGCCAAGGTCTCTGCATTTTATTGCGACTCATTCTATAGATCTCAATAATTGTTCCTTGATGATAAAGATCCACACAAGCACGAGACCCCCAATCAAAAATATTCGCAGCAAGAACACCTTCAATTAGCGCAAGTAGTCTTGTTTCCTGAAACAAAGGATGGTTTTAGATTGCCTACAGAGCCAATTTGTGAGAGGCTAACTCATCTTAAGCATGCCACAAATACTAGATGACTACATGTTTGCCACTTGTATGAGTTTTAGACTAAGCACTGGATGGATCTGATTAGTCTAACTTATGCAGATTTACATCTATACAATTTACTAATATGTCAAGGAGTAATAGCCACAACTGAAAATTTAACATCAAACTCCTTACTCCTCCCATCATTTTGGTTTAGAGGATTATAATATTATTTATGCATACCTCATCCATACTGTCAAGCTCCATTAACAAGTCAGCTAAAACAGCAAGTGAAGCTTCATTTTCCCTGTTATATATCCAATTTAAAAAATATATATATAGATTAGAAACAACAAGGAAATTAAGAGAACATAGACAAACAGATAGCAAGATAGTTTTTACTGGCATTATATACAAACTATTTTTCCTGCCTTTTCAAACATATCCAAATTCTACAATTAAAGCTTTCATTCTTGTAAGACGACTACCAAGGAGATAACAGCCTGAAAGAATATCGATATTTTCATAACTCATCTATGATTGCGATTGGATATATAAAAGTCAAATCAGTCAGCTTAATGACTTTAATGATTTCTGTGAGGAAGAAAGATTCGATCTTGATTAGATAAAGCACCATGCATACGTTTCAGCATGCTGGTATCGCATCATATTTCATATTATTATCCAACTTGTGTTGATCTAGGTTGGTTGCCGGAGAAACTTTTGCATATGAAACATGGTGGCTAAAGAGAAAATTAAATATAGGCAAACTCCAAGTAAGGATCTCAACTTTAAAGCTTGATGATATAAAAATTACCTCTGCTTTATACTTCTATAGGCATCAACAAACTGGAATTCTCTCAAGCACTCTTCTCTCATTTCCAATAGATTGGCCAAGCCTAGCTTCCCATATGCAGCAGGTTCCTCCATCAATCTATTTAATTAGCGTGGAAGTTGATCAGAGGAATAATTGTAAGCCGTGTGAAATCAACGAAGTTTTTAAAACAAATTAATAAGCTTAATATCAATATTACAACAATAATAAGATTACAAAATCCTAAATGACATTGTCACACGACAGAGTATATATAACTTACCCACAGCTGAAAACATCCAACATTTTTAGAAAAAAGTCGTGCAATGACATTTTAGATAGCATAAACAGGAATGCAGCTGATAAAGTAAAACTCAACTGGGCTATGATCATGTAAAAAATCAAGACGTTAACCCTGAACACTACTAGTTATCAATAACTAAATGGCTGGTTCATAGTCATAAATAAAACACAATAATTCCTCTTTTTATC